CGGGGTGTACCCCTATATTTCCTAAGGCTTTATGTAGGTCGTAGCTTTCTAGAGCTTCCCTTCGCCCGCCTTATCTAAAAATTGTTTCTAATGTGACGCTTTAGCCTTTTCGATTATTCGAGTCTATGCTCGGCGCTTAGTTTATATGGTCTGAAAGGTAGTAGTGGTACTAGTATGGTCTCGTCTAAGCTCCGCGTAGCTCGCCTGCTATCTTCTACGTAGTTAATTAACTTTGACTTATTAAACCTTGAGATCTGGTGTGAACCACCGCTTAGAGTATAGGGCTGGGTGAGTGTCGGGCGTGAACTGGTCGACTGCCTAAGCTGTCGTAGCTGTGAGCTTCTCTACGACCTGGTCGAGTGTTGGCTGGGTCTTGATATCCTTCTAGGGGCTCATCTTCCGAGCTACCTCCTCGCCGATTCTGGCCTAGTCCGCGCGCTTATACGCTTTTCTTACTTTATCGTCTGGCTTGCTCTAGGGTTAAATATTCTATTCTGAGTACGTGGCACGGTGGTTGGATCTATAGTTCTCGTGGTATAGATGGCACTTGATAAGCCGTTCTGGTTTATCTATTACTATTAAGTCGATGGTCGAATTTTGGCCTAGGTTGTTTAAGGCCTAGTAAGTCGCTGTGCCTTAGGGGAGGTAGCTATGGATATTATAGGTTTAGAGAAAGTCGATTAGGTCGTTGGTATCCTCGATGAATTTAGGCGGGATATGGTTACCGCCCTATAGTGGGTGATATTAGTTAAAGTCTCTAAATAGAATGATGCTTATCGGCCGCTGCTTGTTTTACACCGCGGCTATGATAGTGTTTTGTATTACTATAAGGGCTGGTAGTGCTAACTGATCGTCGCCTATGAAAAGCGGTGCTAGAGGTATATAGACCGAAAAAGAAGGATTTAGGAGTCGGCTATCTAGATCTTAATAGCTGCGATATCTAGGTGGTCGTAAGGTATCTAGCGGTGTGAGGAGGTAGAGATTTGTCTATTTATGTAGACTAGGCTGTGGAAGCGAACTGCATCGGTCTACGTGGTAGGTCGATAAAGTCGCCAGGCGCTATGATTAATATATATGCGATATTTGGTAATGGATGGCTCCTAGATTAAAAGGATATCTAGGTCTTGGTTCTGGGGATTATTAATTAGCGCTTCTATTCTTAGTCCTGATTTTATTATGTTTAACTGTAGGACGCGGAGATTTCTCTCTAGTATCTAGTCGGGTTGAGGGTCGCTGGTGTTCGGTATTGTTAATCACCAGTCGGGTGTTTATCGCTATAATTAAGGTACCGAGCTCTTACTCCTAGTGGGTAACGCTCTCGTTCGTGTTGGCCTGCGTAGTGTCTATATTGTGGTGTTTCCCTATATGACTATGCTAAATATCTAAACTATTGGCACTGGAAACACCTTTTTTCCTTAATTTCGCGGTGTACTATTTTAGGGATAAAGTGTCCATTGATAAGAAATCCGTTCTAAAGCATATGTTCCGCTCCCTCTAGTAAGTCGAACTAGATTCCGAGGGAGGCGAATTTCCCTAATGGCTTGTCCTTTGCCTTTATCTAGGCTAGCTCCTCGATCTAAAAGCCGTGTGATACTAGGCTATTATCTTCGATAATTTTCTCTGCTGCCTAAGTGGCCCTGGCTTCTAGGTTAAATTCCTCGGTGGGGGTTTAGTGTACGACGACACTAAACCGTGGTTTTACTAGCTTGGTGTGGTTACCTAAGTTATATAGCTACTTAGTGTTATTGCGGGCCGCCTTAGTCGACTCCATATTCTTAAATCGGATGATATAGCCGGTTTTGGTAGTGCCGATTCCCGCTACTTAGACGTCCTGCGTTACGGCTTCGCTCTATAATGCGATGCGAATATAGTTATTGGCGGCATCGATAGGGAGATATCGCCCGAAGGTGTTTCTATCATTATTATTACTATCTCTTAGGTCCATAAAGGTTCTCTAAGTGCTGATTTAAATGCAATTTTGCTCCTTCTTGGGTTTTTGGTGGTTTAGCGGGGAGGTGTTATTACGGCCCCTAGCTGCGACTATAGCCTAGGTCCTGGTCGCCGTCGCTAGTGGGGCGTTTTCCACTTATGCTCGCAACGCTTTGACCTCCTCGTGAAGCTTTCTGTTCTATTCCTAAAGAACATTCTGATTGTGTTTGATCTCCTGTAGTTCATCTTGGGTAGCTACGATAGCCGCGGTTTAGCGGCGGATGACGTCTTTTAGCGTGCCGATGAGTTTCCATACCTCCTTGGTGGTGATTCGAGTAGCGGGGTCCGCAGGTGCGAAGACATCGCCACTCCGGGTTCGCTTCCGATTCTTAGAGAGCGAGCCGGAGCTGTCAGCAGCTGTTGTGGCCTGGAGTTCTTCCCCTGATATGCTGGCGATCGTTTCTTGGGTGTTTGTGGGAGAGGGCTCGGGCCCTCCCGTCGGTGGGTCCGACATCGCTTTGGGAATGGTTCCCACTGGTTACACAACGTCAAAGTTTATATCGCTATATTGTCGACACCAACTTTTTTTCGTCCGCTCCTCCCTCTGTCGCCGTCCGTTTGTCTTACAGGATGGATCGAAATCAGTTTCACCACCTTGCTCTCATAGAATCCTTCTCGAACCCTAGTCCTAAAACGCACTAGTCTATTTCCGACCCAGCTCTGTTATAAATATTGTATTGTATTGAAAGGACTATCACGTGATAATATGCTAACCAAGATACTGTAATCGTCCTAAAGCGTACTAGTAAACAATGATCTGTCTAGAATTGTGTAGATTAGTCAGCTGAGACTTAGTCAGCTCGAATAACTTAAAGTAACGTATTTCACAAGCGAGCGGGACACCCGGTCGGCCGGGACACCCCATCAACTTCAATTAATTCAAACCAGCACAATTCACCCGAAATAACGTAATATTGAATATCTAAGCTATTTAACAAGTTTTGGACAATGCGTTCTTTTATGCCCTTGGATATTACATTCTGAGCACCTTGGTGGAGCCCGACGTCGTGGTTCTTGACCTGGATTTTGACTGGTTGGCTCTCTATCTTGAGGTTGAATTTGCGGATTTTCAACTTTTTGGGCTAATTCTTTGAGCTCTGCCACTGATAGACCTTCTGAATGAGCTATCTGTTGCTTTGATCTTGCCTTTTTCTGCTTCTTTTTTTCGTTTCCAGCACGTAAAAGCTCGTTTTCTCGAGCAAGAAAAGCGGTAGATTGCATTGTGATTTGGCAAGCTTTTAGCACTTGATTAATAGCAGAATTCAACGGGCTTGGTGGGCTCTTAGAGCGTTTTTCTAAGAGCTTTTTGATTGAAGAAGCTTGCTTCTGGAGTTGTTTATAATTTGATGGTGTTTTTGGCTCCCACGCGCTGCTTTCGCTCCCTCGAGAAGGTGGTGGTGTGGGTGTATAGAGTCGAATATTAAGCTTTAAAATCACTCGGTTTGGATCATATGGTACTAATCTAGTTGCTAAGAAGCTATTTTGGATTGTTTCCGGCTTGAATGCCTCGTTTTGAGCGATTGGAAAAGCGTCGAGAAAGTCTAATTTGTCGATATGGTTCACTCCAATCCGCATCAAATTTTCAACGATTTGACCGTACGCGCGCTTAAGAACCGCAAAACAACCCACATCAAGAGGTTGTAAAAGATGAGAAGAGTGCGGTGGCATATAAATCGGAATCACATCATTTTGATAGCAAATTTCATCAAATTTTGGAGTTAAATGGCTCCCGTGACCGTCGAGAACTAGGAGTCGATATTTCCCCTTCATTCTTGAGAAAGTCGATGGAAGAAAGACCTTTTTAAGCCAGCGAAGGCCAATTTCGTCTGATGTCTATCCATTTAGGCTAACCTCAAATTACCAGTTATTCGGAAGTTTATCAGCCTAGCTTGCGATGAAAACTTTACCCTTAAAGATAATCATTGGAGGGAGGCTAAATCCAGACGCGCCTATACACTTAATTAAGGTTACCTATTCACGATTTCTAGGCTATAAAAGAGCGCGCCGACCGTAATATTCAGCTCTTATCACAACTTTTATGGTCGCGGTTAAGCCCATCGCAAAGCCCGTCTCATCAAAATTATAGATATCATTTAGATCAATCCCGTTATCATAAATCGTCTTTTGAACGAGATTAAACCATTCTCTTATGATTTTTGGATCTTCACATTTTACGCGTGCGTAATTATAGCGTCTCGAGAACTGTATATCAAGCTCTAGGTGTTGTTTAACATAATTTATTACCTAATTCTTGCCGACGGTTTGAATCGGGGTCGTTCCGCGTGTCGCGAGTAAGAGATTAGCCATTTCTTATACTATTTTAGGTCGCGGTGCCGCTCCTCAGTTATCTATAGAAAGTACCCATTTCTCTAGCGAATTCTCCTCGATTTCGGTTAATTTAAATGAATTCAGGCGGGATTCGACGCGGTTTTCGCGTCCAACAAGACGGGCATGAAGTGTTGATTTTGGAACGTCATATATACGTGCTGCCTCACGAATTAATAGCTTATCCTGCTTTTTAAGAGCCTGGATAGCAAGCAAAATCCGGCCTTCTTGATGTGTTAAATTCTGACGATTTTGAGAGCGAATTGGTGGTATGGTGGGTGGTTGGATAAGAAAGGTGTGATTAATTAACGCGTTTTGGTTGGGGTGTCCCGGCTAACCGGGTGTCCCGCTCGCTTGTGAAATACGTTAACTATGTTAGATGCTGGTACAGTAACTTTCTTTTAAGGTAGATCACATCTTTCTAATTCACAATGACTCAGTGAAAGTTAAATACTTGTCTGAAAGTAAATGATGTCACCGACAAGCCTCAATCTGAAGAGTATCAGTGTAGTGATGACTTTCATTCGAGCATTGCTAATCTCAACCGAAGTCTTAACGTCATATTGTTTGTTGAGTGGCGCTTAATGTCTAGGCATATATTAGTTTCCAGGGAAATCCGCTCATACTTCATTGACTATGCAGAATAACTAGAGATTTTAACTATTTACTACTTTGCGTGTATCAAGATGAGCCACTTAGATCCAGACTCGGCAGGAGAAAGTGCTACAGACGAAAGGTAAGTCTTTCAAGCCCCATGCGATCTCTCTCGCCGCATCTAACATTATTTAAGCTTTCTCGAAAGGCACAGCCTTCTTTGTCGGTGGCAGAAGCAGCTAGAGTTCTTTTTGTATCACATTTTACGCTCAGCAGCTCCAGCTATAGCCGACGAATGCCACTGGTCCTGCCCCGAGGCGGCCGAGCTGAGTCGGCTTTCGGAAAAAGCCATCGAATATTTTTGTTTCCACCATAAGAAGCTCTTCCAATCTTGTGGCATAACAGAAAATGAACGTGAATCCTTCTGCTCTGATTTGCATAGAATTCGTCAAATCCGGCATTGTGCTGTGCACCGAGTCCCAGTGAATGCAACTACTATCGCTAAGTACGCGAGGAGTGCACAAAGTGTGTTGGCAATTTTGAATCGTCTTGGTGGGACAGAATTTCGAGAAGGTTTTGGTGGATTAGTATGCTTGATTACCTCTCACGTCTCGCAGTACCAGTTTTGCTGACTCTTTTTCTCGTTGCAAGTTGGACCAATTTATTCAGACATTCTGGGATGTCCGAAGCCCTTCTCTGCCACAAGTAACTCCTCACCGAGCAACATTCCAACAGCAAGGCGAGGGAAACGTTCAGACTCATGCGCTCTCAGAAGGAAAAGCGATGAATATCCGACGTATGCGCGACCTTCAGAATTCCGCAATGGAAAGAAAATTGGCGAATATTACGAGAATGGCCAACGACATTGAGATTTCACATACTCAGAAAGCGGCTCGCTGGGCAAAGTCATGTCAACAGACGGAGGAATCCCAACAAAGGAAAATTGAAAGAGAACAGAGACATCAACAGGAAAGAGATGAGGCGGACCGGCAAAAGTCCGAGCGGGCGCAGCGCAGCCAGCAGGAAAGAGATGAAGCTGACCGGAAAAAAGCCGAGCGGGCACAGCGCAGCCAGCAGGAAAGAGATGAAGCTGACCGGAAAAAAGCCGAGCGGGCACAGCGCAGCCAGCAGGAAAGAGATGAAAGTGTAAAGAAAAACATGCTTGCGTAACTTCATGGCACTAGACTCCTGAAGTGCTTGCATCAAAATAGAGCCTAGTGCCTATTCTACATGATGTGTATCAAACTGGCGGACTATCTTAATGTCCTCAACAGTTTGTTAACTTGCTTGTCAAAGAGATATCACAACACTTGCACAATACGTCATGGAAAGTATTGTCCTCTACGCTTATCGCTAGATTCGCATTCCACATCTTAATAGCCAAATACAGAACATCTTTTGTGCTTTTAGATCCAGAATACTGCCAAAAAAAGAGGTCAGAGGTAGAGTAATTGACTGATAGCGTGTTTTGAAAGAGGGTTTGAAAGGGAAATCTTCAGGAGAGTGGTCAAACTGAAGTCTGGCCTAATAGCCAGGTTAGGGAGATCTCTCTTTTGTTTTCCTTGTTTTCCTTGTTTTCCTTGTTTTCCTTGTTTTCCTTGTTTTCCTTGTTTTCCTTGTTTTCCTTGTTTTCCTTGTTTTCCTTGTTTTCCTTGTTTTCCTTGTTTTCCTTGTTTTCCTTGTTTTCCTTGTTTTTCTTGTTGGCAGGCTTGACATTCTAGAAACCCCGAAAGCCATACCAGCGAAATACAGAAGATAATTTTATGCTGTTATTACAGCTGTTGTGTATTACTGCCAAGAATGGAGTTCAGGGAAAGACTAACTATTTTAGCTGTAGCGTGTTTCGAAAGACGGTTCGAGGAATAATCTCTGTGTGTAAGTGGTGAAACTTATTTCGATCCATCCTGTAATTATTTAAGCTGCTACACTCACTAGCGAAATTAGCTTTCTCCCTACAGACTGCCTTTCTTTTCTCGTCCCACTGCCAAGGCCTCTGCATAGATTGTATATTGACTGGACCGCGCTAATTCGGCCGCAAAATGCTCCTTTTCGCAAAGCCATTAACGTTTACTACTTAACATTTAAAGCACCGGGTGTAATATTGCGGGTGAAGATACAGTACAATACACGTCGCATCTTACAACAGCCCTCAACTTGGTGTGGCCCGATCAATGGGAGATCTGCGCTAAGGCCTCGGCAGTGGGTCGCGGGAAAAGAAAATCGATCTGTAGGGAGGAAGCTGGTTTCACTAGTGACTATAGCACATCCCGTGCCACTTAATGCCTTTTGGTGGTACAAATCTCATGGTCTTCTCTAGGTGCCCAATCCAGTCGTCTAGTTTGCTCGAGATGGCCCCATGTTGTCTACTCATGATATGGATGTAGTAAACCATCTATCTTCAAACATAGCGCACGATATTGCTATCGGATAGTGTATCTAGAAGGATAGCGTTTAATAGTATGAAAGAGATTTAGATGTATAGAAATTGCTGCAGATACACGGAGGTACTGAAGACACGTACACAGTGTTGTAATTATACTCACTAGCGAAATTTGTCTCGCTCCTAAAGACTATTTCCCCTTCTCCTGGGCCCCACTGCCATTGCCTTCGCGGAGATTTCCATTGATCAGGTAGTTCAATACTTCTAATTTATCCCCATCAGGAATTTTTCTTCTATATAAATACCTTCAAGAGACGCATGTTCGAGAATGTGCAACCACGCCTCGCAAAAATGAGGCCACCCCAGGAGTCCAATTCAAAAGCTGTCCACCACATCATGACGGCACGAATACTTAGTAAGTATCCAACCGTCCTCATCTATATAAATACATCATATTCTTTGTTGGATTTACTTCGCCCACGAACAATAAAGTGAGACGAGGCGTGTGTCACCATCGTATGGGATAAATAGCTGTGATGATCCGGTCTATCGCTCTCATCTTCCTCCTAACCTTCCTTCACACGCAAATGGCGCATATTTCTCGCAGACGACAACGCCAGACCGAAAACTTTGCCAACACGCCATTTCTTCTGAAACAAGCTTCCCGCAAGCGATCTATGTCCTCCAAGAAACCATCTGCTAGTGATCTTCGACGGCCAGAGAGAGCCATGGTAAAATTTCGTGTCGATTCCTCTGACGCATCGAGCCGGATCTCCCTACGGCTAATGCAGCGACCACATCAATGCCCAGATCTTGTGGATAAGGTTTGGCGGACCGTTCCCGAGATAATGTCTCAACCATGCGTTGAGTCAGATCGTGTCGTACAAGAACCAAAGAATCGTGAAGCCTGGCTTCGATGCTTACGCCCCCGGATTCCTTCTGGATCGCTCCGGGTCCAAGGCAAATCTGGAAAGTGAAAATTTGGTATCATGGCAAGCCTCCACCAAAGCATGAACGTGAATTTTTAGTCAATGAGCTACATGATAGGCAGCAAAATCAAGAAAAGGTAGTCTTGTTATTTCTTTCCAAAGTTTTACTTCAAATGCATTACGTCAGTACGGAGAGGAATATACTTCAGTCAACTCAGTTTACTATCTTAAAACTTTCTCCAATCTAAGTAGAAACACATTTATCTACGTTAGGCTTCTTGTTTACAGTATCTCCCGAAACTGGTGCGCCCACCTACGTTCTTCCATTGTGTTCCAGACCCTAATGCCAAGATACACTAGTCTAAAATAGCACTAGAACCAGAACATCAATATTCCTGCGTTATTCGTGATACAGTACTGTACTCTACTTAACTACAATACATCGTTCCGTACTTGTATCCGCAATCGATAATCAATAGAACCTTCTATACTATAGTTTACACATATCAGCCACAGAGAGCCCTGCCGACCAGTTGATGAATCGACCTTTGACTATATTCCTTCGTTATTCTCGGACAGGCTTATACATATGGCAGTTTTTCACTTAAAGCTAGAAGCTTATCAGAAGCTTTACAATACTTCCAGATATGGATATCATGACCTGGAACGGAGTTATTTTTTTCCGATCATCCCCTCCTCTCAAATCCCAGGTCATCATTCTTATTTCAAAAAGATGGCAGAGCATGACATTCCCAAAAGATATGGCATTCATCCGGTCCGCATCGTCAGGAGTTCTTACGTCCATATCCCTGGCAGACGTCCTCTCACAGAGAGACAGATAAGAGAAAACCGGGACAGCGAACGCAATGTTCAACTGCAAGAACAGTACAACGAGTTATGCCGAAGTCTTGTTAAGATCCTGGATGATAAGATGTTTCTCGCCGATAGTCCTGGATTTGTCATCTCAGCGGTCGCCGGTGGGGCGTTACACGTCCCTTGCACTACTGTTGAATTTGAATACGAGGAAGCGGATTCAAAGCTCTCGTTACTGGAAATGATAGGAATTATGAGAGCTAGACTTACCGATGCGAGCTTAACTTTATCAACGGATATCAAATCACTCCACACCCTAAGCAAAGTTCTTCTGGGCCGAGGTTCTGAGCGTTCAGATCGACTGGAACCGAACATTCCTGACGTTTTTTACCGGGCCGTTCGATCAGGCAGTTACAGTCGACATGACAAAGACCTTGGTTTCCGTTCTTCAAAGCAGCCACTCACACTATCTTCTAATTATGATGGTCCTCTCCACGAAAGCTCATTAATCAACTATGATATCTTGAAAAATCATTGCCAGGGCGACCAGCCTTCGGACCTTATCGCCATGTCTGATAGCCCTGCGAGAGTTTTGGGTTTCGTCGAACACTGGGGTTTCAAAGACCTCGAAGGCGACATGATAGCCGTGATTGGTGTCTCGAAGCTTCTTGCTATGAGAGTCCTGTTCACTCGTACGACTACTCTATGTGACAAATTGGGTTTAGAGGCCTGGTCTCCCTCTAGAGACAACGGTCTCAGTTGGGTAAATCGAAACTATTGGGTAGCTTATCGGTGGGTGCCAGCTGAATGCATTGAATTCTGCATCTCAGTCGCCTTTCTGAGAAGTGCTTGCAAGGAGCATGGCATTGGTAAGTGATACGGGCCCTGAAAAGAGCAAATACTCATATACGAAAGGGAAATCTGGCTTCGATCGTCAACTTTTACTCAAGGATCTGCTTGGCAAGAACTTGGCAGGACTTAGTTTTTAAGCTACTCTGTTCAAATACATATTCAATTATTATGACAACAATATTGTCATGTTTACAGTATTGGCAACGTGTGATGTACTGTTTCATCGTAAAATAGATGCCTTTGAACTTTCACCACTCTCGTGGGAGTAGGCATGCGATTGTATACTTAAGCAAGTAAAAGAAATCTGACAAGGCATACCATGATAGATGTTCGGGGCTGGATAGTATAGAGTATAGTAGTGGCTATAATACCTAGGGCAAATAGTAGTACTATTATTAAACTATTCATCTCCGTCACTAAGTTACGTATATTATCTATTCCTAAAAAATTTAAGATAAGGAACTTCCAGTCTTTATATCATAATCTATACAAAGTTATATCATATCTAATTAAGTGGGAGGGGGGGAACTTTGCGCCGCGTTCTGCTTGGTTATGTAGTGTGGCGGTTAGCGCTCCTTGCTCTTTTATGCGGTTTAGTGAGTGGCTATCGCCTTCTATTTTAGAAGCTACTGTTATATTTACCTACTATAATACTAATTAATAGTAAGTAAGAGAGAAGTCTAGAATAGTATGTCAAGTTACCATAGGATATAATACTTTATATTCATAGCTGTAAAATATTTAAAGGAAATAATTCCCTACTCCTTAAACATCTAGCTATCATAGTTAGTTAAGTACTTAGTTATATATAGCCACCTAATATACTAGATCACAATAGATAAAAATATAGATTAAAGCTTTAAATCTATGATATAATTATAGTATCGTGGAAATCGTAATGATTGACTTTTAGTGGGTTCTTTAACGACAATCATTCATTATTCACCACATCGCTCTTTCCTAAGGTCAGCGTAAATTAGCAACTTCCGCCAGGCGACCAAACAGACCCCCACCACCTTACCTTAATCGCTGGAGGTTGCAACCGATATCATCTTTGAGGTCGCGTTCATAGATGACGTCTCAACCATCAAGAGTGATCTCATCATCTACTTACCAATATATATTATGATATAGAACGTTACGAGGAGAAGTGTAATAGTATAGACAAGATTGGAAGTTCTATTTCAGTATATCACCATTGTTACATGCTGCTGAAACTTGGTTTACTTTGATTGGTGGTGAATTAAGATTTATTTCAGTAGGTTGATCGCCTATGACGTGGAGCAATATATTGTATCCGTGTTTATGAAAAGATACAGCCCCATAATTCTGTAATTTACTGTTACGAAGCATTTCGAGATCCCGCAACAAGCTAATCGAGCATGTACTAGCGTGTTTCAGATTAGAGCTCAAGAAAGAAGAGAAGAGTGCAAAAGTGAAACTGATATCGAGCGCGCCTGTACCAACAAATACCTTACCTTCATACATCTTAGAATCGGACAGGTGATCTATAGACGCGCGCGGAATTCATTTCAGCTCTTTACTTTTTCCAATTCTTTCTCGAACTCTATTTTGCATGACGCCGTTCCCTTCATATAGATGAAGCTATTTTGCTTCAAGTGGAAAATCCCAACTATAAAGTACGTCCTGGTGCGACCACCACTCTTCCACTGATTTTCTACTGCAACAGATTAAGCCAAAGGCGATCTAGCATTTTATGAATAGAGTTCGGGAAAGAAGAGAAGAGACTAAAAGTGAAACTCATTTCGAGAGCGGCTGTCTTTAAGTTGTCCTATTTATTCTTCCTCCAGGAGCATGGCACGAAATTTTGCAACATCACCTTTCGTGTATCCACACCGGTTCATGAGGTACTGACTTGCACCCCCATACACCATGTTGATGACGCGAATGGTTTCAGTCATCGTGTCCTCCCTAGTTTTTGCTCATCAAAGTCAATGAAGTGTTAAGAGAAAAGTAGAGAGAGCATTCTTACTTTGCAGTCGCCATTTCTAACGCCCGAGCTCTCGACAGTGCATCGCTGTTCGTGTTTTCTCGGAGGAACTTCTCGATGTCAACCACAGAACCCTTCAGTCCTTCTGTGCTGACACTATATTCCATTGCGATAAGTGGATCTGGAACACCAGCTAAAAGTAAAAGAAGAGCAAAGATAATGCCTGTCCTGTCCTTCCCAAGAGAACAGTGTATCAAAGTAGCACTTCTGGGATTGCTGCATAGAATGGAGAGTATCTTGCGAACTGTTTCTGCCCCTTCTTCCAACAAGCCAACATATCTCTTCGAGATGGACTATTTGCGATTGAATTAGCTGCAAGTTCATCGATGGTGGATATTTGAGGGACTAGAAGCTCACTTTTACTTCACAGTCTTTCGTAGTATAATTGCCGTATCTTGACAAGAGTTCATCAATAGAAAACAATCCTCTCTTCAATGGGCAGGATATCCTCAGCAAACCTTCATTCGTCAACCTTTCTAGTGATATATTATAATTGACGACTGTCTCATTGTCAGACGTCAGATCAATAATGTTTTTGATTCCCATATCTTTCAATTTGTTTAATCCAGCTTCCGTCAAGCGACCAGGATGAGCAGAGCGATACAGAAACATCTTTCGTGTTTTGTGAGATCTTGACAGTTCAGTAGGGTAGCCGCCAAACCCTCGGAGATTTGGCACTCCCCCCACTTCAATAATTTTCCATGGACGCTTATCCGATTGGTTTGATTCCTTGCTCTCCTGCCTACATTTTAGCGAGGTCATCTTCGAATATAAATTTTGCGCAGTACCTTTCCTACTGAAGGCCGTATGGCCCTCAGAATATACTCTCGTAGATAGTTTATGCATTTTGAAGGTGACCAGTAGCGCATATCTATAGGTCCAGAGACAATAAGGACACTCAGAATTTATAGTGTCTTCAAATCGGGATATAATTACAAAGAGACCCCGCCATGGTTGAGCCTAGATATAAGAATGGATCAATAAAGATCAAGGGAGGAGTGAAATATCCTTGCCCGAATGAAGTGAGGAAATGAAGTGGTCAAATCAAATGCTCAAATTAAGTGTTACAAACAAGTGGTGAAAAGAAGTGGTTTAATAAAGTGGTCAAAAGGAGCAATAACTTGGGAAACATAAAAATCGTGACTTTTAATTGTAGAAATTTACGCACCATACATACTCATCATTTGTTTCTCCCTCGCTTGCAAAGGCAACTTCGAAAAGAACCACATTTCCAAATTTATCACCTTAGCTAAAACTGTTTATTTACTGAATGATCTATAGATTTGTCATTCTCAAGCATCCATCGCCCATTCAATATCCGTTCACCACCCGTTCACCACCCGTTCATCTTAATATACGCGCAAAGGAAAGATCTCTGAACCTTTCGAAAGCCTACAGATGTCTTTTGGTTGAAGAGCGAGCCCCGCTTACATCTATATTAATAACTAAGCCTCCGCGTATATCTTTCAAGTATCAATCTATTCCTCCGATATACAGGAACCACACAGCTCAAAAATATGAGGACGCACGAAAAGCTATACAGTGATGTTGTTATCATTGGCGCGGGCTTATCAGGTATCAATATGGCATGCCAGCTGCAGAAGCAACTGAAGATTGAAAATTTCGTAATCTATGACCGAGCTACTGAGTTGGGAGGGGCGTGGGCAGCCAACAAATGTTTGAACTACCTGTCCCAGGATATTGTCAGTCTCCCCTAGGCAGTCGCTAACGATGAACACTAGATCCTGGGTGCGGAGTCGATATACCTGGAGTTTTGTACTCGCTATCTTGGTTCCCAAATCCAGAATTCACTAGCCTTTTCCCAAAACAAGAAGAGATTCTGGCCTACATCCAGCGAGTGGCTCTCGCGTATCAGGTACCTCAACACACGCAGCTTCGGACAGAGTGGACGGGGGCCAAGTGGATTGAATCTTCCGGTACCTGGCATGTGGATCTTCGCGATTTGAAAACAGGGGAATGCTTCCTTCATGAAGCCAAAATTCTGATTTCTGCAGTTGGGGGCTATACGAACCCCAAATTTCCAGCCATGCCTGGAATCGAGAGCTTCGAAGGTCCTGTGGTTCACACAGCCAAATGGGACGAAGCGTACGACCTTCGAGGGCTAAAAGTGGCCGTGGTCGGTAATGGATGTTTGTTTTGACTTTACTAAAAATGCTTTATCAGACAGTATTATACTGACAAGGTTATAGGCTCCGGGTCTCAGGTGGTTCCCGCTATTATGGAAGATGTCCACAGTCTGACACAATTTATTCGGGCAGGTATTCTTCCTAATTGTGACTATTCCATAATCTAATTTATGTCTTTGGAACAGAGCCCGCAGCATTATGTACCCATGACAGTGGGAAATTACCAGTTCGGAAGAAAGTTACAGACTCTTTTCTTTCGGATTCCTCTTTTTGTATTGCTTCTTAGGTGGATCACTTTTTGGATGCTGGATACAGCACTCGGTCAATTTTATAATGACTCTCAAGGTAAAGAGTCGAGAGAACAGAGACTTTCCTCTAGTCGGAAGTACATCACGGAAAATGCCCCTAGTAAGCTTCAACATGGCAAGCTTATATACCAATACTTACCTTCCTTTATAGAGAAATACTGGCCGTTACTCACCCCTAAATACGATCTTGGATGCAGGGTAAGTAGGTACCTCCATAATTTGAGGTAGATATTGACTATTGTTCTACTTTCACAGCGAAGAATCTTGGACAATCACTACATTCAATCGCTCGATAGCCCCAAAATGAAGCTTGTCGAGGGTCCAATAAGTCTTGTCACGCCGAAGAGTATAAAAACATCTTCTGGTGAAGAGCATAACATTGACTTCATCGTGAGTCAAGAGAAATTTAGACTAATAGAAGTCTGCTCTGACTAGACAGCACAGATTCTAGCGACAGGCTTTGAATTCACACAGTGGCAAGCAAACACAGTTATTGGACGACATAAAAAGACACTACAGCAACACTGGGATGGTATGGGTGGAGCTGGCGCCTATAAGACTGTAGCTGTGCATGGTTTCCCAAATATGTTCTATTTGCTTGGCCCTAACTCGGGCAGTGGACATACTTCGGTCCTCTTCTCGATTGAATGGTATGTGTATCCTTTAAGTGACTTTTATGAAATGCTACTCGCATTAACAAGCTACTATAGTTCGATTGATCTGGTCATTGAGATAGCTCGCCCTGTTCTTGAGGACCAGGCGGTTGCAGTCGAGGTTTGCAAAGAAGCCGAGGTTGAGTGGTGTGACACCATACAATCGGCTCTGAGAAAAACAGTCTTGACGCAAAGCTGCTTTAATGTACGTCTTAGCTTGATATATCATGATAAAAAGCTGATAATTTATACTACAGCAATACACCGACCCAAAAACTGGATGGAATTTTTTCTCTTATCCCTTCAGTTCACTTCGATTCTGGGCTGGCTCTCGCTTCCCTGAAAAGAAACATTGGTCATATAGACTAGATTCTTTCAGGTCAAGATTAAGGTCAGGGGCTGCATAGCCTAGCCTATCTTTAGCCTGAGCTACATGTCAATTAAACAATGATTGCCTCTATTGCTCGGCAAGCTATCATATCATCTCCCCCAGATTTAAGCAATGACTTGTGAGCTTTCAAATTGCTGTGTAGATCATTTAATTCGAAACCGCCATCACTTCTCAGCTGAATGAACTTGAAACTCTTCGAGATCATGATATTGGTTAATTCGCAGAAAATACTAGCAGAAAATATTCGCAATTCCATGTGACAGCGATCATCAAGCCTTCCTATTGCGACAGGGTAATCGCATTCAAGGCAAGACAACAAGTAATTTCTGAAAAAAGAATTTTTCTTGGAGCGCAAATCACGGTACCCACCCCAGTCCAAGCTGCACTCCATCGAGCATCGTCACTACTTAAATTCAGACCAAGCTATAGAATCAGGCATCATTATTGTCCGATTTTATTATTCTTCAACAATTCCTATTTACTTCTACTCTATTATCCGTAGACCTATTCTCTAGGTAAGATTCAATGTATCTTCTCGAGGCGGACGATCATTCAAGGAGTCTCATATCTTATAGAATATTGGGTTGACGAGAGTTTCCTTCCTATCTCCAGCAATACGAACTAAAATTCTGCTACTAAAGCTTCGAATTTGCTTTCACGCTGAAAAGACATAACCTGCTGAAATCACTATGCCAAACATGGCTATATTAAAGATGAAGTTTGGTTTGTAGTACAGTCCATAGCAAAAACAGCTTCTTCCCTAGATACTCTAAATTATTACAAGTGCCCCACTACCAAGAAATTGGCGGGTAGATTTAATTCGCAAGCCTTTCATAACTCTATGGAAATAAAAATACTCAGGCAGCTAACACACTTGGCTTATGTTACAATTTTTCACCAATAAACGATAAGGTAATCCCTTTTACAGTGCTTCCGGAAACTAGTGTTACCATCTATACTCTCATGTGTTGTGTTTTCTTTAGAGACTCAACGCCAAGACGTGCTATGTTATATAGACTAGCGTCGGAATAAAGGTAATTCCGCATTTTATTAGCAATGGATGCCCCTCACCTTCAGCAACCACTTATGACCTGTTGGTATTCCAACGCCTGTTTTCCCTATCTTGGGATAATTGTACGTCAGATCATTGATAGAACGTCTTTTGCCTCATCATGCTATACGATATCAACAAGTTTCCCCCTGAGATCATATTTCTCGTTTGTGAAAACCTTCCAAACTCTGCTTCTTTCTTTACAGCAATGACGAGTGGTCACAAAATCTACGACACCATCAAAGAATACATTCCTAAAATTTTGACCAAGATAGTCATATCACAGATGGCTTCTTTGCGTAACACTAGCGATGCTCTCTATGAAGTACTTCAAAGCGTTCGCCCTACCCCGCGTGCTTTTCGGAATCTCCGAGACCAAGCGAGATTTTTGACACAGACCTTGGTTGCCCTGAAGGGCGCGACAAAACATTGAGGTAACGATATACTAGCACTAGAGCTACCGATTCAACAATGTGATCTACAACGTGCATCTATCACCCAGAAGATCGCCAGATATATCGTGCAGCCAGGAGACAAAGCAATCGTGCAATGGGCACACATGGTTTCTAGCTACAACGTGACATTCAGAGTGGCTCTGGGGAATGCAAGACTGTGCGTATTCAGTCTTTCTACTAAGTGGTGACATTATCTAATAGTCTCATTTAGTCAACAAGTTTCCCTTACCAGCGTCGTGCTTCAGCAATATCAAAGCATGATTCGGGATGCTCAGTCAGACTTAAATGACCTAGCAGATTGTCCCATAATTGCAGATCTGATTCAGGAGAAGTCTGAGACAGAAGAAATGGTTGCACGAGAAAAGAAATCCGTCAAACAGTGCCTTTCTATCTGCAATAGAGCTTTAAAGTTCACTGACACGTATCAAGCCCATCAGTGGCAACCAACTTTCATCTCTTCTATCGACGAATTACTTCCTAGAGAAGAAAAACAGGGTTTGGAGAAGTTTCTATAAAGCATTGAACAATCATCGGCCTCATGATGTCTAAGGTTTAATACAAACCAAATGCCCCTTATAGCCCAGACTTGCACAATGAATTGACTTGGCTGCACGAGCCAATCCCGAGTTGACATTCAGTTAATAAAAAAATGAGACCACGAAAGATATACCAGGATGCTCAGTTAATCCATGAATATGGTATTGTAAATTTGAAACGGAACTCCAGCTTCGGATACCGGTCATTATCTTAAGCCATCAACCTTTCATTTATATCTATTGAATAAATATTCGGACTAGTGCCTTAGCAGTGGGGTCCGAAAAATAAAAGCGATCTTTAGGGGGGAAGCTGATTTCGCTACCAACTGTACTTTCAGCGTCTGATATGAGATATTAGCTAGGAAAAGCCAATATATTACTCATACAAGTCTACCTGGTGAAGAAGGGAACGCTCGTTAGCAGCACACTTGAGGATGTGCGGGTCGATCCAGCTACACAAACAACAACACAAGCAAACATAGGTTGCATGAGATATTCGCGGGGAGCACCTACATGTGCAGGTCAGAGAGGTGTAGAAGCGTGCTATTCAATAATGTCTTCCAGGTCCTAGATATATACAAGTCCTCCATTCCAGTACTGTAAAACCGACGTCATGATACGGGTCGGAAAAACTTCATCTGGTCTAAATTGTAATATCAAGTAACGCGGGTTCCTGTTGGGAAATAAATCAAAAGGATCACAAGGAACTCAAATTGGGGATCATATCTAGAGAACTAAAATTGTCATGACCAGCACGTGACGTGTCACGTGTAACAATGTGTAGGAAACCGCAACCGTTCCCCACTACACTAGTTAAAGCCACTACTGTTCAAAAGGAGTTAATAACCAATCATTGCTATCGTATGACATTGACAAGCGATCTTTGAGTGACGTTTTTGACACGGGGTGCTGTTTCCCCTAACAATCCTCGGCTAATGTATTTGACAATGTGAAATTTGAAGGTAGATCTTGAGACTGAAAGGATAGGTGTTTCTATGCCCAAGTCTCCCTTTCAGTTGGCCTTTCTTCATGACAAAGCTGAACAGCTAGTGGTTGTTGTAAATGATGGATAAATCACAACGTGACAAATAACAGTGTTAAGATCATCTTTCGTGCTGGTAGTAGGTAAAGTGGTGGTGAATAAAGTGGTGGTAGATAGCGTTGCAGTAGAGGTAGTGGCGCTAAATGGAGTGACTGTAGGTGACATACCTGTAGATGGAGTTGCTGTAGAAATAGTGGGGAATAGTGAACTCTTGGTAACAGAATCTAAGGCAGTCCGCAATGTGGGGTAAGAGAGTAATTTTGTTGTGAATACTTCTGACTCAGATGGAATGCACCAGCTACCAGCCTTGAGTCCCTCATTGAGTACGCAGGTCGATCTCTGTCCATTTTTATTGAAAAAAGTAACTAAGCCCGTCTAATATACCTGTATCCAAGCAACTGATGAACCATCTTCTGTGCCGCATATATCAACGCTGAGTGTAGACTTTTGCTCACTAAGCTCTAGTAATATATTAGCAGCGGCAATATATCTGAACTATGACGGTGAATAGTAATTGAACAATCATCCCCATCTAGTTTGGCAAAAGATGTAGAGTAACCCGTGCAGCCATGGTTATCGCTAGACCATATCAAACACTGCCGATCGTAGTCTATAACCTCGAAGATTCCGGCTCTAGAAATGAATGTATGAATGAAGACTAGAATTGCAATTGACAGAGGATGCATCTTTGCAATATCGGTAATGATAAAATTCAAATGTGACGAGCTCTGAATCCACTATGAAATACATATAAGAACCGGAAAGGCCATGAGGAAAGGAAAGAAAATTCTGACGGGACAAAGGAATATAGTCCCTAGCGAAATTCACTGCCCCCACCGCGTTCGTTTATCTCGGGAACTCACTGCCACAACCTTAGCTGCAGAGCTTTCATTGATCGGCCCACACTAATGCAAAGGCATCCAGAAAGTGCTCGCTACCTAGTTTATGCCGACCGACATTTAAGCCCAACATTCAGAACACTTGGTGAAATATAATGACATAAGAAATATTGTCAAGCACGGTGCATTTTCTTAGTGAGAAATCAACCCTAAGGCCATAGAAGTGAGTCTTAGGAAAAGAAAAGGCAAGCGTTGGAGAGGAAGCAGATTTCGATAGTGACTCTCAATGAGTTCATCAAACACCTCTTGGCCCTTTCAATTAACAAGAAAATTTGATGCGCCATGGTCATGGTTTTATATTCTTCACTTTTCAAGGGATGGTGATAGTGTCGGTTGATTCACATAAAGGTTGAAGAATGCCCCCCTCATGCACATCCCACGACAGATCTTTGACTTTATCGTCAATGGGCTGCCTTTCGTTCCAGCAAAAAGAAAACAGACTTCGAAGAGCTATTTTAAGATTGATAGGTGGATCAAGAAGACTGCTTAGGTAGGTGCTAGCCCTGCACTTGTTGGCTTAAAACTGCGGAATGATTGGAACCTCAGGGTGCAGATCTTGTCAACGCCATTACATTCTTTTAGTGACAAGTTATCTAGAGGGTGAGTTACATTACGACCAAGACCTAATTCCCTAGTAAGTCTAGCCTGGATACGTCTACGAGGAAAATAAATTCACTGTGACACTGCCAGAGATTAGAGATATAGGCACCGATCACTGCAAGATAAAGCGCCCGGATATTACTATACGCGGGTGAAGCCATTTCTCTAGGCGCTGAAATCTTTTGCCTTTCAAGAAGGGCTAGACGGAAGTTGTTTGAAAAGCATCCAGTTCGCACACAGTATTATTTTTCTTGGGAGAAAAAGATTCGTGAAATACAAGAGACAGGAATTTGTGGGATGAAAGGAACGATCTCAAAGTCTCATGAACCTACTCCGATATGTGTCTTCTATCTAAAAAAGTGAGAAAAATGTGGCAAATTATGTTACAAGAGCCTAGATGCCCTCGAGTGTCTACAATTATGAGCGATGGAATCAGAGGGGAAATTGTCGCCTCGGAAGAACGGCTCAGATATTGAAGACTCACTACAAATGTACACTCATGCTGAACTGATCATATAACTACGCCAATACGAATTTGAATTTCAGTTTTGTATGATTGCTTGTCTGTCAAAAATAAACAGCCTTTTGGATTGAGACAGACGCTACATATATTTCCGCTACAGTGGTGTAGAATTTCAGCAAACTAATTTTCGGATGAGCCCCGAGCCCCAGGCATAGAGTTGCCTGAACTCGAGGCTTTGACTGCCAACATATCAAAGTATAGATTTGAAACATGCCCAAATGTTTAAACCCGCCACGCCAACCATTACGAATGGTACATAGGCGCCACTAGCCGGCTCGGTCGTTATGATTCCTGCAAGATGAATGGCCAGAATTGTAAGACCGGCTTTGAGAAGAGCTTCTTGCATCATCAGGATGGCATCTCGGCTTAGTCCAATCAGTTCAAAGTCTCCTTGTTTGATGGATCCTATCGAGAACCCTCCTATCCAGTGCCCCAGAAAAAGACGAATCAGAGCACGTCTATATGCGTGAAATTGCTGATTCGAGCAATTTTGCATTATCAAATAGTCTGTTAAAGAGAGGCCTTTGAACGATTGGTAGTCTATCTGACGTGGGAAATTGAGCTTCGTGGGGGCAGTCCGTAGCATGGATATAGCTCTCCAGCGCCAGTCTAGAGGCTCAAGCCAGGAATCTACCTCTTCTTGCGGAAACAAGGAAGTAAACTCTTGGGGATGTGATGACCACACCGTGCGAGTTCGCTCATTATCCAGGAGTTCACTCTCCATAGCTGCAGACGGAGACCTATAGTGAAAGAATCTGGAGTAAAAGGTCGGTGTGTTGACTTGAAAGACTATCTGCTCGTAATTTCTGTGATTTTCATCTTCTTTGGCCCGCAGGGAGCACATGAAGCCTTCTTTAGTTGATTCAAGACCATTTGAATGGATAAGGCGAACCCTCTCGCAGTGCTCTCCGGGAGTAATGTATTTCACAGTCTTAATGTGAGACTGTCTCTGGACTGCGGAGGATAAAATCAAATGAAAATATTTCTCCAATGTTCTACGAAACAGTCAGTATTTTGTATACTTCAAATTACCGGGGATGATCAAAGTGCAACCTTACCTTTCAGAAAGCCTTGCAGACTTTGCGATGGACGTTTTCATAGGCTCCGCTCTTGTCTGAATATCCAGTTCTTTTTTCGTATGTAACAAGTAAATCTTCGAAGCTTTGAACAGAATACGAAATACCACAACAGTGCACATGGGAACCCACCACCAGTTCAAGAGGAAGAGCATGGAGGAGCCTAGACTCGCAGTGGCAGCGTCAAGGGGTGGGCGGATAGAGGTCACTTCAGCTTGCATGACTGCTTTACTTCCCTTTTTCAGGGTCACCATGATGTTGATATTTCGCAATGGAAGGGCACAAGGGTCAGACGAGTCAATCACATAGCTAGCCTCGAGGGGAGTGAAAGGTGAAACTTGTAAATCCTTCTTAAATTCGCCTCGAAAGCAGAAGCGACCTGTGTCTAGCGCATTCTTCCGCGAGTTTCGTGTTAGCCATAGTCGACGCTCGCCATACGATGTTTGAAGCTGAACGATCATTGCAGTGAGCTCTTTATTGGCACTATACAGGTACCAAAATGCGAGTGGATTGTTTAACTGCCATGTGACACTTGGGGGCGTTAAGAGGTATGCAAAAGGCCACTCGGCAGGATCCTCTCCCTATGAATCGTCAGTCATGATCTCATCAATCTGTTACTCATTGATAACAACCTCGGATAATAGAAAGGTCTGTAGCTTTTGAGTCATAGAAAGGTCGGCTCCACCGTTAAATGCGTGATCTTCAGGTCTGATACTGAACCATGCTTTTTTGATAGGCAGGAAGGACCCAGGGCAATAAGGTGGCTCAACAGTAACCAAGGGGCTATAGCAGGCATTTAGGCCAACTGGATACCCTACGTAGAGGTATGAATGGTGATAATCGTCTTTAAAACCGGATCGGCGTAGGTGCCGGAGATCGCATGGGAACATTGTAACCCGTCCGTGAAAGGCCTTTTTGGTGTGAAGATTCTTATTAATCTCTTGGACTTGAGGCGCGTTATCTGATCTGTAGGCCGGGTTCTTATTTTGATCCCGAATAGCATGCACATGACAGCCACCTTGCCAAGGCTTTTCCATACAACCAGAAGGGGCTGCGGGTGGATTTTTGTCATGCTTCGACTCCAAATATTCGAATTGTGTTTGCCAAAACGCGATCGAGACAAAGATAGCCAAAATGACCACAATGCTTGTCCGAGAGAGCTCTGCAAAGTGTGTAAAGGCGACGAGTAGAATATTCTCAATGAGACCCAATGTCGCTTTCCCCTCCAGTATCTGGCGGAATAGGAAGGAAAAAAGGAGGGAAGATATGATATACCAGGAAGCCATAGCGTCGCAGATTCAGAGGTAAAAGAGAAAATAACAACATAAGGTGGGAATAAAGACATTCGTTCGCCGTTGATATATAGCAGTGGGTTTAACTATCAAGTAGCCCAGACACGAGAGGGCGCTGTGGTGCTTCTTTTTTTCCCGAACATAGAGTGGAAGTAAATTGATTCAACATACTTTCAGGGCTCATCTGTCAAAATACTTTCGCATACCGTATGTTCCTTTTGTGACATTTTGAAACAATTTCACCACCTCATTCTTTCCTTCAAGACCTTCGTTGTACAACAGGTGACTTTACACATACCTCCTCGACTTCTCGATATTCTTAGATGCGTTGAATAGATCAACAGAATGGCTAGTATTATGATATTAGCACCTGAGCCTTCAGTGCCTCCTATGATTGGTCCATAAAGGAATTTGCAGTGAGCATAGTAATATTTCATGGATTAGTGTTATTACGGTTGAGGAACAAGTCGATATGATGCTATATGGTTCGTGGTGCGCTGATATTATAACACATCCTTTCTCCGCCCAAATTCCACAATGAGTGGTTTCACATTTTCCAGGTATGCAAGAATCAATGCGCTCATAGACGAATTGAATGAAGACCTCCAGCGTTTGAAACAACGTGGTAAGGAAGAGCTCGGCTAGGTGATCCATTGCATGCCTATAAATCTATTGACGCACATTGGGCTTCTGCGTAACTGTGGGCAGATGTGGTGAAAAGGCATTTAATTGTTGCAGTTTCCTCGCTAACGTACTCATTTTATTCACCAAATTTTGACCACCTATGCCCATCTTCGTTTGAACACTCCGGCGCTCCAACAATCTATAATGTAATTTCTATTCAACCAATCTATTGAACCACCCCAATGATCGTCAACTGGCCACTCTATTAAGAAATACGAATTTTATGTGGTGCTATAGGCGAATTTGACTTTTCCTTCAGTTCTACGGTAAAGTGGGCATGGCTTGTTTGACTTAAGACTAATTTAGGAAAAGCTAGGGAGTATGCATCAATTGCTGTATGTTTATTTAGCATATCTTAGAAGCTCGGGGCAAGTAACTATTTTGCTTGAACTTAATAGTCCAGTTGTAGAGATTCCGGATCCTGTCTCGCCCAGTGCCGTAATTTGAAGCTGAAATAATGCTGAATTACGGGCAAATTATGGATCGCCTTTGCTTCGGATATTCCTGTCTGTTGAAAGGAACGCGATAGTCACTGCTATATTAGAATATCTTGCTATCATAAATTTGAAAGTCAGGCGTGAGTATATTACCTGCTGTTCACCAAATTCGAGCCCTACACCTGCAAGAAGTGCAAGGCTGGTCCTGGATCATCCCCTCTCTGCATTTCATTATTTCGTGCCTTTTACTTCCACAAATCGAGTTCGCATGATACTTGGGTGCTGCGATATGGCCAAACAGCACGAAAGCTTTGCTGTAAACTGTCAGCCTCCAGATCTGCACGAGCCGCTATCATTGCCAAACTTCGATACCGAAAAGCAACTAGCTCATTCTCATGAGGTAGATTCTCAGCCAATGGCTTTTTGCCCAGGTATCCATCATAGCGCAATGCCATATCGCGGTGCTCGCACCTGGTGCGTCAAGCGGAAAATCTTGATATCCATAGGCGCGATTGCCTCTTTTCTGGTTATGTAAGTCACGGTCCATGTTGGTAAGCGAGCAAGTATCTTACTAGATTTGCATGAAGTACACTAGCGACTTCAATCTATATCGCCAGTATCCCAGGTATTATGCAGGAATTCAACGTTGGACGAACACTGGCCATATCTCCTGTCACATTCTACGCAATGGGCTTCGTCGTTGGCCCAATGTGCACATCTGCTCTTTCGGAAGAGTTTGGAAGACAGTACATCTACAAGACATCGCTTCTACTGCATGTTATTTTCACAGTAATAGCCGGATGCGCGACAGACTTTTATACAATTGCCCTTTGTCGCGCCATTTCGGGACTGGTGGGCTCTCCTGCTATAACAGTCTTCGCCGGCGTCCTGAATGACCTCTGGAGGATGCCTGAAGACAGGCTTGGGGTCCTACTCTTCGTATTTTATGGCCTGGGGGGGGCTATCGCTCCAGAGATTGGGCCCGTGGTTGGAGAGTCCATTGTAGCTTCCTATGGATGGCGATGGTCCTTCTGGCTTACTGCCATTCTTGTTGGGACCTGCTTCCTTGCCATGTTATTCGTCCCGGAAACCTTCGAGCCTGAAATCAGGCGGAAAGCACTGAACCTACCTCGCGATAGCTGGCGCAAGGCCCTCGCACCGGCTTTTGCGCGACCTGTTCATATGCTCTTGGTAGAACCAATCATATTTCCTACCACTGCAATCGTCACGATGAGTCAAATCGTCATCTTCATTCTCTATGCTGGTTACCCTACTGTACTGGAGCGAATTTACGGGTTTTCCTCTTACCAAGTGGGATTGGCGTTTTTACCACTCCTAGTTGGATCCCTACTCGCTGCGCCTGTCTTGGCGTTGGTAGACCGGCGCAAACGGGGACTAGTCAGCCCCACCCCCGAAGATAATCTGCCAGGGGCTATGCTAGCAGCTATTCTCTTGCCAGCAAGCATCTTTTGGTGAGTCTCTAAAACAACAAACACCGTGAGACACTGCCTAACGGAATGTTCAGGCTGGCTTGGACTGCCCGTCCAACAATCCATTGGATTTGTCCCCTCCTAGCGGGCGTTCCGTACGGGCTCGGGTTTGCCCTCTCCCAGGTCAGTATGCTCCAGAACTATCTCCTTGCTAGAGGCTAACTTTTGGTACAGCTGGTCTATCCTCTTTATAAAAATGAGGTATACGGTGCCGGTCTCGGTGCTTCCTCCTTAGCCATCGATGTATCCATGCGATACTTGCTTTCCTGTGTATTCCCGCTTTTCACAATTCCACTTATAGATTGCATTGGGTTTGATTGGGTCATGACCGCGTGTGCTCTCGTGATGATTGCGCTTGCACCGGTTCCATGGTTGCTGCAGAAGCATGGACTTTTGCTACGAGGTCGAAGTTACTATCTTGCCAATGCCAAACAAAACATGGCAGTGACGGTAGGGGAATCTGTCTGAGAAGGTAGAGGCAAATTCACGATGAAAATCACAAACACTCAATCAGGTTGCTACTATATTGCTAGGAGCACGGATTCGCTACGATTTCAAGCTAGGCTCCGAAGGCCTCCTTGACTTATATAATACACGGCCGTTGCACTATCACAGGGTGGGATTTGCTTGCCACTCGAGAACATGCTGCGCTATCGTAATTTAGATATTAAGTAAAGCTTTAGACTTATATAATCAGAAAGCGCTTTCAGTCATTGTATCTTTAGTTAAAGATAGTAGTTTTAATATAAAAATAAAAGCTAAATTTGACTTTCCTACAAAACCGTGGTTGGCTTCTTTCTGTGGAATCTCCAGGTCCGCACGGTAGATACATATATTAGGGTAAGTAAACAATTCATTCAATATCAGTGGAGCCCTATATTAATTTAGAGAGGTCTGCAAGTCTTAGCTAGATAATAACGATTGATTAGGAGCCTCAATCATGACTAGGCTTTTTCAAGTGATAGTATCTAGGTTATCAAGGGGCTTTTAGTTGGTGGCATATTATATTGATAATATTCGCTGTTTGGTAAGATACTTCTAAGAGATTATTTTATCGTATCGGCGGTAGTAGGCATCCTAGGGCGGAAATGCTCAATTGATGAATATGAGGAACTCAGTAGAATAGAACATAGCAAAATCATTGATGGTTTTACGGGGTCATAGTGATATATATGCTCAATTTTAATTGACTGCTCAATTGAGAATCGAAGTAATGGATTGACAGTAGGACCGATTCGATCAATTTTGATAATTAGTCTGGATAGAGAACCACGTTTAGGAAGAGTGTTGAATCTAGGATGCGAGCAATATATTTAGGATCGGACATCAATGGGCTCAACAGATTGATCGAGTAATAATCAACTATATACCTTTCATCATAGAGCCCATCAATCTTATTGATTCGTATAGAACATCGATTCGGGTCCATTGGATGGATCCGAGACGACTCCAACGCTACTATCAGTGGCAGTGAGATCCTGGAATTTTTGGTCAATGAATATGATGAAATTTTATGGTACTATATTCTCATATTTGTCTGCTGTGTATCTGTCTTTCTGTTTTAAACTGAGAGGCTGGGCACCCTTTAAAGTAGATATTAGGGACACAATCAAATTGATACAGGATGGATCGAAATTAGTTTCACCACTTACACACGGGGATTCTATCTCGAACCCTCTTTTGAAACACGCTTACCTATTACAGTTACTTTTCCCCTGAACCCCTGTCTTGGCAGTAATTTAATACACGTGTAAATAACAGCATAAAAATAGGTTCTGTATTAGACCTGTATGGTTCTTAGGGTTTCTAGAACGTTGACCCTGCAAACAGGCCAAACAGAGGGGGTGTTTGCTCTTCTCGTCTGGAGACGTGGCAGGAGTTCGAATCCCACTCCCGTCAACCGCGCATCTCTACACCGAGCGCGTTGTATAGAGACAGTACTAGTGGGTAAAGTTTATTTGCTTTGTGTAGCAAGCTTGACCTTCTAATGGAGGACTAGCATTTGCTTGACTGACTGGTTGTGATCATGCTGACGTTGGATCCTTTGGAGCGTTCAGACGAAGACGATGACTACTGATTCGTATCCCGATGAACGTGATTTTCAACCGCATGTCCTTGAACCAGGAGATCAAGATTCGCAATATGCTCCCACTCCAGGATACTACGGTCGCACGCCTGCGTTAAGCTGTGGGCTGAGCCCTTCCCCCGAGTATCACTCCGAGCACGATCTAGAAGACCTGTGCCAACATCAAACCGAAAGACCCAGACTGCTCCAGCTATCCGAGTGGCACGATGGGATGCTAAGTGACGAGCTTCCGGCAAACTGCATCCAATATACGATAGAATGGAAAGTTACGGTGAATAAGAAGGTGCTCTCACGAGACACTGAAGAGGATGTAGTCCTGGCTCCGAGTGCTTATTGGCCGAAGACCCTGAAGGGTAAGCTTGAGAGGTTGTTAGAAGGGAAGATCCCCCGTAAAGGAAGGGTAAGGTCGGACGACACCTCGATCGCTGTATCGGTGAATGATCGCTCCCAACGCGACCTGATGAAACGGTTTGACCATCTCGACATCGATTGGACTGTTGTTGAAAAGCAGCTGCTGAAGTGGGGCGAACTATTTCGTCGAGGCAAGAAACTGAGGCTAAGTATTACCTTCAAATATGTTGAAGACAACTGTCTCCACAAAATTACCTCGGGTAGGGTCGAGAAAAGAGGAAGGTCATCGGTCACTAAACGAATGCTCAATGAGCGAGACGCTCAACTGGATGCCGAAGAAAACGTGTCTGGGCAAGAATCGATATGGCGGGGTGTTTACAACCTGATGCGTTGCCCATCCTCCTCATGCCATCTCGGCCCACATTGCTGGCAAGACCCCCACGGGAAAAAGCATTATAAATTGAGGAGCCATCAACTGAAGTGTTTGATCGCCTTTGTGGAGAAAGGCGGCACCTTGCAGTCTCATGAAGACGTCCCAGATAATTTCCGTGAAGAACTATATATGGAAGAGCGGCACAGGATGGATAGCCAACAATCTCAGAAGAACAAGATGGTAGGCACCCCAGGAAGCTGTCAGCCTATCAATATCAACTTCAATGGGATGCAATCTTCCCCGCAACGAGACACGTCCAACCCAACCGCAGCTTCAGCAATGGTTCTGCCACCCAATGTCCAAGTCATGGAAAACCTCGATCTTACTGGGCTAAGAGATGAAGCTGTCAAAGATTACTGCGCATGGCATGAATCGAATGTTGGCGACGAAAATCTGAAAGCACAGTTTCGGCAAGCATGCAATGTGGCGTTAGCCAATGGTCTTGATCTTAGACTGATTCACGAGGACCAAGATCCCTCATTCTTCATCGACAAAGGGATTGTGGTGGGTATTGCACGCCAATTCGTGAGAGATATTGGCCAATGGGTTAAGTGTGTAAGGAATGTCTCGCTGGACGACCAAGCTACGCAGGCCGCAGCTTGAACACACATGAAAGCGTAAGAAGGCGCTCGTATAGACACTAGATTGGCTTTTAAATCACTTCTGTTTTATGCAAATCCTTAATTAGATGATTAAACCACAACTGTATACACAAAAAGTAGAGCCGGCAGAGAATCGAGTAATTTTTGTAGCTGTTAGTATTTATATATTGTGTCACTGTAAGGCCTAACGCCAGATCGCCTCTAACGCTACCAACTAGCAATGGGTGTCAATGACCACCCCAGAATGTCGGAAATGACCCAAGGCACTCTGTTTTCGAGATCCAACAACCTCAATGCACCGCTCGAGGAAAGTTTGAAATCCTTGTTCTGGGTCTTCCTCATACCGCACAAAGTTCCGTCTAATATATGCCTTCAACTCAGAGAAGAACTCCTCAAGTCAGGTGAGTAAGGTGGTAGATACACGAGCTTTACTCCTGCTTCGATGCACATTTCCTCAATACGATCAGAATGGTGGAAGGATGCGTTATCCATAACTAGAACGGACCTTGGTTCAGGCCATCTCCCACAATGCCGAAGAAGCTGATCAATGAAGTCCTCGAAGACTGCAGCATCCGTGGAGCCCTGGAATACACGAGAGATTACAATTCCATTTTGGCAATATGCGGGCAGTATCTGGTACCGCTGGTCACGATGAAAGTTGGCTACCTGCAATGGTGCCGTGCCTAACGGAGACCAGCCAGCCCTTCGGAACCCGATTCGTTTATCACACCCAGACTCATCCACGTAGACCAAATGGTACGACTGAAAGCCTGACAGGTTATGTATGTAGAAATCCCGTAGATCCGCATTCTGTTCCTTTGCTCTCTGTCGAGCCACCTTCTTTGACCAACCCACCGAAGCAAGAGCGCGTTTAAGGCTTGAATTTGTGACCTGAACACGAAACTCGTCCCATAAAAAGATTGCCATCTCGTCCACATATAGACCGGGCTTTTCGAGGAGGCGATCACATAGTGCTTCTATCATCGGAGGCGTTACAGTCCGTCGTCGACCTACTCGAGTTGGGGGTGCTCTGACATTTCCGAACCGGCGAAGGTTGTTGCTGATGTTGATAATTGAACGTTATACTACATTCAGCAGCTTTGGCCATTTGCGAGGCAGTCAGTGATTTGCTCAATATCATGTGCTGGATCATTTCGAGCTTTGAGAGAGGGAGTCCTGGCGCCATGTTGCAAAGAGAAATCTGGGTGTTAATGGAGGAGGGTTTGGCAGGGAGCGGTGGGAGACCGCTGAAGGGGGTGACAATGGACTCCATCTGCTCACCCTTGCTCACCCCTCTGCTCAGTGAGCAGGTGAAATGATTTTGGGTGAAAGTCTGGGGGGTGCTAGGTATTAGGAAATGCACGTGACTTAGCATTCTCGCAGTTCCTGGGGGCCATCTCAAAGCTGCGGACCTCAGAAAAAGGTCGTTGCTAGGCTGGAAAACCATTTGTTACTTTCGCCATAGCAACAACAACGATCTCGTATTATCCATCGTTCGCTTGAACAGCCGACAGCATAGGCTCTCTAAGTGATAATGTGGAACCCCGCGGGACCTGGCTGACTATGGCGTGCCGCGCTTATATTTGTGTGCTCTGGCTTGAGTCGATCCGGTTCCTAGAAACGTGCTCATCCCGTGCCCCACGCGAGTCCACCCGCCGTAGCGCCGAGGAGTCACATAATTATGTACAGAATGGATCGAAACCAGGTTTCACCACTTTACTCTCTCCGATAGTTCCCCGAACCCTGTTTTGTGTTTCACCATACCAAGTCTAGAAGTAAAAATAGGTTCTGTATTAAGTCTGTATGGTGCGTAGAGTTTCTAGAACAAACTATATGCAAACGAGCCAAACTGATCCAGCACAAGATAGGATCGGCGAACTCTCGGTCCGTCTCACGAGACTTACTTTTTTTCAGTCTTCACAACGCAACCTCAAGGTGTACTTTGTAATTGTAATTTAACGTCAGAAAGTAGATTTGGCGATATCTTAAAAGATAACATCACTGTTGAATGTAGCATATTAGCTGTGTGCTATTCTATCTTTTAGCGGGATCTCGCCCGCATGAACACCTGCTCGGCCTCATCCAGCTTGCCTTGCTCGCTATATAGATTCCCGAGATTGTTAACGGTGCGAAGGGTTGAAGTGTGATCCGGTCCTAGCGTTTTCTCTTTTCCAGCTAGCGCCCGCACATACATCTGCTCGGCCTCATCCAGCTTGCCTTGCTTGCTGTATAGAATCCCGAGATTGTTAACGGTGCGAAGGGTTGAAGTGTGGTCCGGTCCTAGCGCTTTCTCATGCCCAGCTAGCGCCCGCACATACATCTGCTCGGCCTCATCCAGCTTGCCTTGCTCGCTATATAGATTCCCGAGATTGTTAACGGTGCGAAGGGTTGAAGTGTGATCCGGTCCTAGCGCTTTCTCATACCCAGCTAGCACCCGCATGTATATTTGCTCGGCCTCATCCAGCTTGCCTTGCTTGCTATATAGATTCCCGAGATTGTTAACGGTGCGAAGGGTTGAAGTGTGGTCCGGTCCTAGCGCTTTCTCATGCCCAGCTAGCGCCCGCACATACATCTGCTCGGCCTCATCCAGCTTGCCTTGGTCGCTATATAGATTTCCAAGATTGTGGACGGTCTCGAGGGTTGAAGTGTGATCCGGCCCTAGCGTTTTCTCTTTTCCAGCTAGCGTCCGGGTGTACATGTGCTCCGCCTCATCAAGCTTGCCTTGATCACGATATAGATTCCCCAGACTGTTGACGGTCTCGAGTGTTAAAGTGTGGTCTAGTCCAAGCGCTTTTTCTCTTCCAGCTAGCGCCCGCATGAACACCTGCTCGGCCTCATCCAGCTTGCCTTGCTCGCTATATAGATTCCCGATATTGTGGACGATGGTAAGGGTTGAAGTGTGATCCGGCCCTAGCGCTTTCTCTTTTCCAGCTAGCGCCCGCACATACATCTGCTCGGCCTCATCCAGCTTGTTCTGGTTGCTATATAGATTTCCCATATTGTTGACGGTCTCGAGTGTTGAAGTGTGGTCTAGTCCAAGCGCTTTTTCTCTTCCAGCTAGCGCCCGCACATACATCTGCTCGGCCTCATCCAGCTTGCCTTGCTCGCTATATAGATTCCCGAGATTGTTAACGGTGCGAAGGGTTGAAGTGTGGTCTTGTCCCAGCGCTTTCTCATACCCAGCTAGCGCCTGAAGGTACATTTGCTCAGCAGCAGCAAGCTGTACTTGGTCTTGAAGTAACTGTGAAGCACGTAAGACCTTAGCGAGTTGATCAGGTTGAAGATCATATATCACACCCGTTTCGAGGAACCGATGTTGCACTAGTCGTGTTGCATGACCAGCCAAGCGGGAAAAAGTGATATGACCCCAAGAACTCGGATCAGTCCCACTCATGCTCCTATCGACGCAGTCGAAAGCATACCAGTAATACACCGTATCAATGTCCCTGTTGAGCGCTGCTAGTGTCCAGTCATGCACGCAGTTATGCATACTCCATGATTCTGATGTCGAATGGACTTCTAAAAAGAAGTATTCGGTCAAAGTTCCCATTACTCCCTGGAAAGAAATGTCGTCTGCAACAAGTTCACGAAGCCATTTCGGAGTTTCCTTAGTAAGTCCATCGTGGAAGAGCTCGTACCAAAGGCTCTGGTTACCGAAGTAGGCCAGCAATTTGAGTAGATTTGCCGCGTCAGAGTCCTCGGTTTCCAGGCGAGCGTATGATAGATCCCAGGTCGTGTAAAGTGTACGATCACGGTACTCTTGGAGCTTAGTGAGGCGTCGGGGATCAATATTCCAGCGCTTCTCGTATTCTTGCAGGTAGCGTTCAAAGGTAAAAGTACTTCGCTGAAGATATGTCCCAGCAGTCGCCAAAGCAAGTGGAAGACCAGCAAGTCGCTTTGCAAGCCTTTTTGCGTGAAGGTCTAATATTTTTCTTAAGTTGGGCTCCGCATACATTTGTAGGTATCATACCTGATTGAACATTCTCTCTTTTCGATCGGGTTTGTAAGACTGCCAGGCTATCTGCGATGTCCTGCAATGGTTTTACATGTAAAATGTTTCCACCAACGCGGTCTGGCCACCTGGTGGTAACGAGAATAGCCCCGTGACTTGTAGTATGTGGGTAATAATCGTTGATCTCAAACAAGTCGGGGTCGTCGTAGTTATCAAAAAGCAATAGCCATCTGGTATTATCAGGATGAGACAGCCATTGACGTACACGTCCGATAATATCCTTACTCTCCAAGAGTTGAGGATCTTGAATGTCGAAGATTAGGCTGGCGATTGATCGAAAACTGTCTTTCAGTGTAGCCTCGGACGCTGCATTCAGCCAAAACACCGAGCTATAATATCCAGATCGCGACTCTGCGTAAGCGATAGCAAGCCGGGTCTTGCCAATACCACCCATTCCTCCAAGAACAAGACGCTGTTGTTTTTGAACGCCTTGAACTGGGTGTAAAAATTCTGTGATTTGATCAAGTTCGGAGCCCCGACCGACGAAGAGTCCTGGATCGATGTAGGGCGCTTGGCTGAGACAGACACCTGCCGGTTTATGAAAGCTAAAGTCGTCTTTCTGCCTTTGAACTGCAGGTAAACGTTAGCAGGGGCCTTTTACAAATACCGGACGCAAATTCGTCAATAAGGGAAACTATGGCGTTCCATAGGCACAGCTAGGGTTTGTGTTGGAAATCTTTGAAGATAATAACTAGCAATAAGGAAAGGCTCGCCGAGAGATGAAAAACAAGGTCGCCCAAGGGCTCTGTTCATCGTCCGGTCTGAGTGAAATACGAAGAGAACATTCTATCGAGCCTATCCCTTACCGAAGTTCTGCGTTCCAACGGACCCATTATTGTTGATTTGTTGCCCACTGCCGCGATTGACGTTGTTTGTCTGTGGCCCACCCTGGTTACTGAAATTCATTGTGGAGCTCTCGTTGTCTGGTCCGGAGATGACAGACTTCATCTCATCGATAATAGCTTCCAGCTCAGCATTTTGACTCTGATTGGCAGACTTGACTGCGCTGTGATTGACAAGGAGCTGTACGTCTTCGGCAAGACCCAACATAAGCTCTTCGACTTTGTTTCCCTTGCCGAGTCTGCGGAGGACTTTCAAATATCGTTGTTCCCTTGTATCACTTTCGCCTGGTACGATCTTCTGAAAGATTTCCTCCAAGTTTCTTGCTTTTGTACGGCAATCGTAAAGGGTCTTTTCCAAGGCTTCACCCACATCTTCGGGTATTGAATCTTTTCTCGGTTCGAGATTGCCTTTGCATGTCGCAAGGGTGTCGAGGATAACAGGGAGCCGTCGATGAACCGCTTTGAATGTCTCAGATATATTGATGTCCTTCTGTGCACTGTCGTAGATTTTGATCGAGGTCTCGACGAGGGCAATAACAGCAGAGATAGCGCCGATGACTTCTGCCATATTGAGAGGATATAACAACAAAAATATGCGATGGCCTGAGTATTCTAGAATCCAAAAGGGGTGTCTTAGATAGCACTAGGATAGTTGATAGAGAAGGAGGGGTAAGGCTTCCACCTCTAGATTTATACGGCTCGTTCCAGATGCAGGTCATCCTCTAGAACTTCCGGGCGCTTCCACGGGTACACGTGTCGACAGTTGATTCTTCAGATTTGATCGCTTACGCATTAGTCCGTTGGTCAGAATCCCTGCGAGCGCCAGTCACATTGGAGCGGCGTTACGAGGCAGATGGGAAAAGAATACGGGAAGATTCTTGCACGTTCAGCGGCTTCGGCAATCCAAGACGTAGCCAGTAATTTGGCCATCATAGATTATATCACGCCTCGACGGAGAGAGTGTTCGCATCATCTTGCAGACGGTCGGCGGGAGCGTCAGGGTTGCTGATGATACAAGTGCTCTGATGATACAAGTGCTTACGGAAGCAGGCGATGATGGAAATCGAGGTTATGGGTATTGAGTGTATGGCTATTTCATGTAATTTACGGAATAAATTATCATGTGACAATTCCTTACATTACATTTCGATAATTTGAAACCCTCTAAATCAAATAGGAACTAGCGTGTTTCGGAATAGGGCTCGGGAAAGAACCAAGGAGAGTAAAGTGGTGAAACTGTTTTCGATCCATCCTGTATACTACGAGCTTAGAGAGCGGGTAATTTACGAACTCTGTACAATGCTTTTACGTAGCGGTGCAATCAGACCGAGTGTCACTTTGAATTTACCTGAATGTCTATGCGTGTTCTTATATGGATGAAAATGTTTTGCAGTATCTAAGGACAAAATTTGGCTTCCTCGAGCTCCTTCAGGCTTGAGTAATGGTCTCCAACACCACGAAGAGGTATTTGTCTTTTGTTGGAGGACGTGTTATGGCTGCGAACGGCCAGAGTCTGACGCATTTAGGCCACGAGCTGCCTGAGAAGTGCAAAGTGTTTGGGCTGCGAACGGCCAGAGTCTGACGCATTTAGGCCACAAGCTGCCTGAGAAGTGCAAAGTGTTTGGGCTGCGAACGGCCAGAGTCTGACGCATTTAGGCCACGAGCTGCCTGAGAAGTGCAAAGTGTTTGGGCTGCGAACGGCCAGAGTCTGACGCATTTAGGCCACGAGCTGCCTGAAGGAGAGGTAAAACAAATCCCGAACCTTAACCTAACAATCTGGGCGGTATGTGACCTTTTATGTAACTTCCTACGGCGATCAGAAGAGACCAGACATGCAGCCCCACCTCCTAGTTCTAGACTGGCACAAGTTTTGACTGTCGCATAAGTCACCATTTCGGATCCACGCGATTGCCGCACTTTGAGCAGAATTACTTTCGCCGAGACAAACAAATACGACTTGTAGATTCAATGTTTCCATCTTGCATAAGCGATCTAGATATGTAAGTTTTATCTTTCTACATCTCTCACGACATCCGGCGACGAAGAAGGGGTTTCTAGTCCAATAGCAAAGCTTTAGCAGTTCGGTCCCTCTTCCACCCCAGCCTCCGGATAAATATAGTCTGCAGGAGGGTCTGAAATGGGACTCTCCGGTTTCTTATGCGTCCCGTATCCTTTCCGCACCAATAAAAGTTTACCTCTGCCTTGCGGACTAGAGTAAGCCACGATCAAGTCCCGAATCCTACTCTCCAAGGCTCTTGTTTCGTCAAACACCTCGCGCAGAAAATCACGCAAACTTTCATTTTCAACTCGCACGATCTCTAGTCGCCGCTCCGTAAACTTGAGCTGCCGTTCTGTTCTCTGAAGATCTTCTTCAAATCGCTTGTTGGTGGTAGCCAGTTCATTCTTCTGCGCCTTCAGTCTCTCAAATGCTTTATCTCGTCGTTTTAGGGCTCCTCCTGCAGGGCAGACGCGCTGGCCCTGACTGAGACGGGCCGTATCTGTGGACCTTGAATCTTCGCTCTGGTCAATAAACCGTTAGTACGCCCTTTTCAATAAGCTTAATACGGGATTAAAAAACTTACAAGCGTCTTCCGTTGAGAAACAGTACTCGCTCGGGGCCTTAGACCTCCCAAGGGGAGGTCAGGGCTCTTAATGGTAGCATGCGATAGCCGGCAAGAGTGCTTTGGAGTAACGCGTGCCATTGCTATAAAGCACGACTGCACTAGAGCCTGCGAATTCAGCCAATAGCTTAAATTTGGAAGAATAAAACGTATGATGGTGTGGCTGAAGATGATCGTTCAGGGGTGTTGGTGATGAAAAATATTTTCAACAGGCAACAGTGGTAGACGGACTTAAGTGGTGCTCTTAGTAAAGAAAAATATTTCTGTCACTAGCCAGCTTAGTGGCTGTCGTACTTTCTGCTATAGTGGTCCGGGAGCGACAAATAACCTAAGTACCCGCTGCGTTCTTATCCGAGGGATACGAATTTCTTGTCCACCAGCATATCTACTGGAACACCAAAAAAAAAAGCTAACGACTTAAGGAGCTAGGAGATCCAAATCTTGGAAAGGATAGAAGGCTCTTGGTCGCTATTTCTCTTGAACACTACGCTAGGTTTAGGCAAGAACTCCACGCTCAGCGTGACGGTAATTTACCAACGGTGGGTCAATGGAATGTTAGTGAAATTATAAGCGGAATACGGCAGGACGATACGCAAATACAATTGGTGATAAATATCTATTAGGTCCTACATGAGGTGACGAGATGAAAAGCGGGTTGAAATCTCTTTGAGCACATAAACCAAAATCAGCGAGGTAAATTCTCTGAGCAGATGAAGACTAATAGCTCATCTCACCAATTCATAGCTCAGACTATACAAGCGTAAGTAACTTCTTAAGATTGTCACTTCTTATTTTTTTTTATGTTTGTACAACTTCAAGTAGGATTTATTTTCCTAACACGTAGCGGATATTGAACCAAATGACGGAACCAGTCTTATTATCCTCAGGGAGGGGCGCCCTATTTTAGCATAAATTACGAGACAGTCCGACCAGGCTAGACTAGCCATTGTCGTAGGTTGCATGTCAACCATGATACCCACCGTCGGAGTTAACAAGGCGCTTGATGCGTAGCCCCACAACCCACCAGCTACATGATCGTGGCCCGCTCGATCGTTGTTTTGAGGCGCAAATACCATGGCCAGTGCGAAAGTTCATTTATTAAATTGCGGTTCTCCACGGTGGGGCACCATATCTGACACACGGACTAGGAATGATAGGCAGGCGTCGCCCTTACTTTGAGCCGGCCATTACTGTAAATCGCTTGCGATTTCCACGGCAGGGAGCACGGCTCATGCAGCTAGCTTAGTAGTATAATGCGCAAATACCAGCCTAAGATGCAGGAACGGCGATCACGCAATAGTGGGTTCTTTAAATCAGCGACCATGATTGAGTAGAGGGTTCACGGAGGAGACTTGGAACGATCATCCACTGTTTGAGCCATCTTCGTAAGTCGCTAATTTCTAAACCCAAGGAAGAGAAATAAAAGACTAAGCGGCAGTGATAAGATAATATTAAAATCAATTTGGTATATGTTTAAGCAACGAGGAAGACTATGATGACTCTATGGATTATTTCGCTTAGTTTAGCATTTACGAATTGCCCATCTAGTCTCAAAACTGTCGCGACGAGATCCTAAGAGGGGAGATGAATTAGGAAGTTGTGTAATTCGTAGGCCCCACTACCCGCCAAAAAAAGGACTAGAAAAATGTAGTGAAATAAAAGAAAACATACGTAGTGTCAACAGTGCAAAATGCTCAAGCGGGCTAAGTCTACTTTGACCAAATTGCAAGTTAAAAGCTGTGAATCGCCCGTTCTAAACGGTGGCTTCTACGAGAGCACTTCCCACCTCCGAACATTGTCATCTTCAACAATCCTTCTCATCATCGCCCATTATGCCAAAATTCCCCACCACTTCCCGGAACCCCACGGTATCCGCTCCTCCCACTCGAGGAGCCGTTCGAAGGTCAGCCGGGAGTGGCCCGCCACCCGGACACGCACTTCGATCTTTACCCCCAGGAGGCAACCACGCGCCCCAGCATACCTCGCCGAGGATGCAGGTCCGGTCCACGGTATGTTGCAAAGAAATTCCAAGTATCTAGCAGTCGGATACGAAAAATCTGACGTTCTACTCTCGGGCAGGCACATATCACACCGACTTCAAGAAAGTCGGACGAGGATCCGGACTTCGAGACGGCTCACGCAGCTTGTACCAGAACATTCAGGCTCGCTGAGGAACACAATCAGAAGCTCAAGGCACGCTTTACTGAGCAACAGCAGCAGTCTGTCGCCAAAGAGACCCAGCTAAACGGAATAGTCCGGCAGCTTCGCTTAGAGAAACAAAGGGCTACCGATGAGCTTCGGCAGTTTCGCTTAGAAAAGCAAAGGGTTACCGATGAGCTCCAGAGACTACGGGATGAAAACACCAGCCTGCAGCAGCGCTTAGACGCTACAGACTTGGATAGGTCTATCATGACCCTGGACGAACACAGCCAGGTCTTGAGGGAGATACACGCCGCCTCATCTTTAGTAACCGACAAGGTTTTACAAAAGATCAGCGAGACCCAAAATGTCCAGTGCAACGCCTCGTTACCTTTTCCAGAGATGACCCAAGGATCCTGGGTCGGTCCGGACGAGCATTTTGACTTACCGAGCAACCCCCCTTCTCCCGGAGGACGCCGGTCCTCTAGATATGGCTGAATTTGATACTTATGTGAGACTACCATAGACTCACAGCTAATGTGGAGAGTTGAGAAGCGATCGTGTCCCATCGCGCCTGTGATATATATTTCTAGCTGTGCTTCATTGTTCACTATATGTAAATTCTATGTGGATATAAATTCCTGTTGGTCTAGCCATGCGTACGTAAAATTTGCTTGAAGATCAAATTACCAAATAGCAGCTATCTCTCAATCGAGGTAAATACCGCGTGCTGGATATGTGGCGGCGCGGGTGGGCCGCGAAGCAAAATCCGTAGGGAAGCTCAAGAGGACCGAGTATGTCACCTGATCAGCCTGGACGAGCCTGTGCCGCGAGTGTCTAGGCTCCATCGACAAATATTGATTCGTGGAGAAAATATTGCCCAAGCCTAGTAAGTTCGTCTAGGCAGTGGGGCTGCAGATCTTTCCTAATCTAAGCGCGCTGCACCCCTGTACAGTATATGCACCCCGCATGTCGAGCCCCTGAGTAGATACAAAAAGTTCTGCTGTGTCAGACTGCCCAGCAGCAACAAAACCAGGGACACATTTCGATATCTTTCGGTAGAGGAGGATAATTTACGCGACATGCCCTGATTTCCTTGAACCTGCCGGTGGATCGGGTTTATCGCATTGGGTATAGCTCCAGGGCAAGCCGCAAATCAGGGATGGAAATCAGCCTGTACCCCAATATACGCAGTAATCAAGGTCCCTGTGCCTCCAGTCCGGAGGAGTCACCCTCTTTTGGTGAGCTACGGGCCAAGTAGAGGCGCGAACCATGGAACGGTGGCTTACTGTATTTACGGGGCGACCCTGCCGAGAGTGGATACCTAGCAATCAATACGGGATCCGATTGGGAGTCAAAGTTAGGTAGCGCCGTTGGCGGGAATCAACCGTTAGAAGGGGCATAAACACAAGCACAGACAGGAATGGTGGCTCTTTCTAAGACAGATCGAGACTGTTCGTAATGATCGTCTGGGTGGATCGCTGATGCTCAAAATGAGCAAATAACTCTAGTCACCATAATGTAGCAGTGATTTGATCCCAATCTCTGAATACGCAATCCCGATGAAAAATAGAATTACTGCTAATTCCTTACAGCAAGGCCCTAATCCAGGCGTGGTAGCAGTAGAAAGTCATAACCATACGACAGCCGATCGTGAGCAGTGGAGCACCGCGGATATCAATTTCCTTATCAGGAAAAATTTAAAATTCATTCATATTCCGCGATGGACGCAGGAGCTCGGCACGTTCCCGGAGACGATCCTTGTCGACGATCCTCGGATAACTTGCCGCGGCATTAAGTCGCTTTTTTTTGCCCCTCTCGCTTATACACGTAGTAAACTATGCTGCCTAGTAAAACACCCCCGAGATGTAACCTTTGTCTAGGCGGACAGGCCATATCAAGTCTGGCTCGGAGGCAGAAGAGATCCTATGGGGGCTTGTGTGTAGTCACAAAATGCTCCGATGTGGGTTTAATTCTTGAGATCGCCATCGTAAGCCTAGAATGACGATGGTAGAAATTGCTCAACTCCCTCAACTAACAAGCCATTGTGTCTGGTAGCGACCCTATAAGTCCCCGGATATAACGGCCAATGGAAGCAAGAAAATCAAATACCGAGATAGACTAAAGTATACGATTGATTGTGAACTATGGTACGGTGGCTTTAGCCGACCGAACAGGCGACAGTAAAGCTTAACGGCGACGTCCCTTATTTGATCACCAGATCTACATACGCGCTGCGGTATAAGCGAGGTCGCTTTACTAATGATGAATAGATTCCCAAAACGGAAGTATCACAGGGCCGTAATCACCGGTCATTTTATCAGACAAGGAAGCGTTCCGCTTAGGGCGAGTAGCTACTTAAAAAGATAAAAGAAAAAAAATGGATTTGTGCTATCGGGATATGTCTTTGTATGACCATTTGTAATTTTGAATTTTTGTACAGCGCCTGGCTTCTATTCGGCGGCTGCGTCACGCCACCCTGCCGCTTCACTGCGCGATTCGTTTGTTGCGCCCCGTTCTTCGCTCTGTCGTACCCTCCTGCGCCAGGCGTAGTTTATCAATATCTTCTTGCAACGCTTCCAAGGTCTCTTTCAAGGCTTTAAACTCGTCATATCCCGCTGCTATAGTCTCCACACTCTGTTGTATACTTTTATTCCACACTCCTTGTTTCCCAAGCTGACCCTTGATGCCCCTAGAGAAGAATTTCCATCAGTACAACGCGTTGTTCGAAATCTCGGTAGCTTCTTTTCGGAGGTACCTACTCCACCTGACTATCCAGACTAAAGTCTTGTTAGCCCGGTCCGCATAATTGGTCAAGAAATTATGGAATACTCACTAGGTGAACACCCGACGGATCTCCTCGGGAACCTGGGGACGTTTATCCTGGGCCGTCTCGTTCCCATAGCGAGCCAGATTCTGCGTTCCTTGGATCCAGTGCTCCCCTTCCGCTTCATCCTGAAGATCCTCTTCTAATGCTTCATGGAGCCCCTCTGCACACGACTGGTCGTTCGTGTATTCAAAAGGGCAGTCATCCTCTCCGGACATAGGTCCTTCAGAGGCAAGCGCCGACTCGGTGACACTCCAGATATCGGAGTGTCTAGTGGGCTTTGAAGGAAAACCTTGGCGCCAGTTGGAGTAGAGTTCAGCAAATACATCGTCGCATTCGTGTTCCATCGCGGCCAGACTTGCTAGGTAGACAAATGTTGCATTAAGGACAATGTCTAGGGCCGGACGGGAAAGCAAATATATACTCTCACGGAAGGCGTCCGCAGATCTCTTGGCTATCACGAGGCATATGGTATTTTAAGTAAGCCTAGCTCTTTTGGTAGCCTCGGTTTTTCTAGTGGGTAAGTGCCGCAAGAAGAAGACTGGTTACGGAGCAGCACACCATTTCTGGCTAATTTATTTACCGATAATGAGATAGGTCTATGGGAGAACACATGAAACGACAGAAGGCGATGCTTGACAAGTCTAAATATGCCTAAATTAATCTAGCGGCTGACTAGAGCATTCGAATTCCGCACCCCCGTGGATGCACCAAGTAAGGCTTAGAATAAAATCTTCAATAAAATATCTTAATGAATTACGTGACTAAAAACAACGATCAGCTTTCTTTCCAGATGCATTGAATCTTAGAACGATGTTCAACCATACACACGAAGTACTCTTTTAGGGCCCCCGTTGAATACCGTAAATCAATCAAGCAATTAAGCAGTATTTAGCTAGCCATCCGCTACAATCAATTCTCACTAAAGCTCTATAAACATCAAGGAAAAAGATATGGCACATAATCTCTGACGGAAAATTGACAGTCAATTAATAGTCAGAAAATTAGGGGACCATCATTTACCCATTGACTAGGCGTAATACAAAACAACGGCGCGTGAAACATTCCCCACTTGACTATCCTCAAGTAAAAAGAGTAGGTAAATACCGCCGTGCTTCGTGATTTGTCAAGATGCCACAGACCTGCGCAACCAAACTACGATTTGTGAATCTAAGTCGAGGGTGGAAACCATTTCCAACGCCGATTAAATGCTCGCCCCCCTCCCCCCACAACATTGTCCATTAGTTCTAATGCGTGAACTCATCTGTTTCTTCTGAAAATAGTTTGTTGAAGTTCTCATTGACTCTACCAGAATAAAGTGCGTTTTGGTACTCGCTATGGGAATACGAAAAGTGAAAAAAGCGGACTACATTCCATGGAGTGCCGAAGAAGAGGATGATCTCCAGGAGTGGGCTGCACGATACGCGCATTTATCCTGGAAGGAGAAATGCGAGGAATACTTCAGACAACACGGGAAAAGGAGGTCTATCAACTCGCTACGAAGCAAGCTCGAGCAGCTAGAGAAGGGCATACGACGAAGACGCCCAGTCGGCCACAGAGCAACTCAGCGAGCTGGACCAGCGAAACACCACAGCAGGTGCCGTCAAAGAAGCTTTTTGGAAACCATTCCTGCTGCGCCTCCCCCACTCATCTTTCAATCTCCTGATCCTTACGCTCGCCAAGTATTGCAGCAATGGCATCAGGTCGAGGCGGATGGCAACTTTGCGTTAACAGAGAGGGCGCCATCAAGTGAAGAGGAGCCTATGTCCCCAATGACACCGCTAAGTCTGGGAGGATCAAGCTCACCGAGTAAGTGTAGCCATAGCATCCCGAAACGCACCCACTTTTTGCTAATGGCTTCCTAGACAACATTACGAAGGAAGTTTTCTATGAGAGGGCCTCCGAGTCGCTATTTGTCTCGCAGCAACCTTGGAGGCCGTCAGATATGAACGCAGGGAGACTGGGTATCGCATGAAGGAAGTACTGTTAGCATTGCAGACTGCTGCTTCTTGTTTTCTGTCACTGTATATAATAGATGTACAAGTATGCATTATCATGAGCCTGACTAAGGTAGAAGTCTCTATTGGACAGTGCGCCACTAAAAGGGTCCTATCCCTTCTCCGTTATCGCTGATTCTAGCCAGGAGCCATTCCTCGTCCCCGCATACGATATTCCCTCAATGGCTGCAATGAATAAATCATGGCTTTGCATTCCCGGACAAATAGAAACTCCGCTCGTTGACTCCACTCTGAAGTCCCCACAGTATCTAATTAATTGTTTTTCCTACTTTGACTGCGCATCCAGCTGGCTTCTTATGTGACCTTCGATTATGGGATACTATAACTTAAAGGAATGATAGGAGCCACTGGAAGAAGGAGGGTCTTGCTTGTTGCAGATTCCGCACTATCCGGCCCTATCTGGTGCCCTAAAAAATTCGTCTATAATAGCGTGGATGGGCCACGTAAGGTAGCCCCACTGGAGCCTCTTCTGTTGAGTTCATATTGACTCGAGTACGGACATAGCGCAATATATCCCCGGAGAGGCAGGAACTTAGGTAATTTCCTGGCGTCGCGTTCTTTTCGGCTCGCCGGATTTGTAGCGAGACCGAAAAACCTTAGCATAATTGATGTTAACACGCATACGCTGTCTTAGCGTCGCGCTAGCCATGAATAGCGCTTGAGCGGCTACATAGATCGCCGGGGTTAGCTAAGGTCGATGCAATTTCCCTCGATTGAAGCTAAAGCCTTAGCACCGCCGGGGAGAACGGGATTAGAGCCGATACGCGATCGATTCCAATTATTCTCATTACACTCCATTATCTACTCGCAGGGGGCGTATGGCAAAGGTGATCTTTCCTACCACGAAAATGATAAAATATCCAGGAACACCGGCAATGGTCCGCTATAGGATATCCTACAAGCTCTGCATCCTCTCGATCGGCGAAAGGACCAGAGTGAGGGCGATCTCCTTGTACTGGTTGTTGACTAATAGTCGGTGGCGGGTGGTTCTCCCCGATGCTCTCCCTCCTACCTCGCCGAGTGGGTCGTGCTGGCTCCACGGCGCGTCTGGACCCGACTATAGATCGCTAATAAGAAATACGGATATAATCGACCAGTAGAATGCCTTCCAAGCCTGCTCAAGATACTACCCTTCCAGCAAAATGGATCCACAAGCGGGCCCAAGATTAATGTCCGGTCGTACACACCCGAAACTGGATTGGCTTGCTGGCGCTTGGATGCTCATGCTTGACGATAGTGCGACTAGACGGTCGCATTTGCAGGGCGTACCGCTCTGGTGATTTACATTACATCGACGCGATGGTTATACTGCGCCTTGAAAAGAATTTTCACGGGCGGCCCTACAATGGCTGAACCGAAGTCAACGAGAATCGCTGTCAAGTGACAGGCAAGCATATTGACTTTAAACCACCACCCCCATTTCTTGGCATTCTTATAATATTATACCGCAGGATTCAGTTGCATCGCCAGTAATTAGCGCAAGATTTGTCTGCAGGAAAATCAGATTTTGTCTCTTTTATTAAAATGAATCTCAAAAAATATTCAACTGCACCATGATCCAGATCTATTTCATTATCTACCTTGAAAACTATAGAGCTTTCATAAGATGTGGTGGTGTTAAAAAGGCGCTCCAGACTGATGCATATACTCGATCAGACATCCATTGGTCGTTGATCCACCGTGTCTGTACACGTAACTAGTTGATCCAGGCAGTTTAGTCAGCACCCAAAATGGTGAGTGTGTCTGCTTATTCTCCTATCTCTGTGCGTGCACCAAATGTGCTTGTTTACTAATCTTGCTAGCTTACATCATCAAGTATGTGCCGACACCGTCCTGATCACGTGCTCTGACCAAAAAAGGAGTCGAGTGAAGTGATAGTTGTGTCGGATACGTGTTCAGATAGTAAGGTATCCTGCCAATAGGGTGGTATCGCGGGTTTGGTAACAGTCCGATGTTCTCTATCGAAACAGTGCGCAATCTATGTGAGTCACTGACAAAGTTCTAGCTAACTCACCCAATCTACAACTTCCAATATATTATTAACCATTTATATTAGACCTGTGAACCTCCTCCACGGCCGACCACTCAAGATTGATTAATCCGCCGGCCTTGCTCCTTTCCTGCAATAAGTCAAAAACTCGAATCGGTTTCTTAAATGCAGCATACCTCTACATATACTCCACCATCAGAGTTCTTTAATCTTATCGCAATAAGCACTTATAGCTCCGTCTCGTTTACAGCCGAATGTGGCTCTTATTCGGTCATGATACTCTTATATCTATCTTAGAAATGTATACTATAAAGGCTCTTTCAAATGATAAAATAAATGGATATGAAGAGGACTGTTGATTAAGAAAGTATGGTTATATATCAACCCTACTGACCATGTATTTATCCACTAATCCTGCAATTTAATGAATTAAAACATTTCATGATTCCGTAACAGATCAATTGACTCATTGGGTTCAAAGCGAGTTGAACGGGACTTGAGAAAGAAGGAAAAGCCCATTGCCCATTAAATATAAACAGTAGGCATGCCTGGTGTTAGAACGAGGCGCCGAATCCAGTAAATGATATCAAATGCCTTCGTTCATTTACCGTGAGCCAATTATGAGGGAATAATGAATGGACGACACACGATCATATAATTTACTGGAACCTATGGTCACTTAAGCAACTCTTTAAAGTCTGGGCTGGACGAGGCGTTGATCGCTCCTCGCCACTGTTATTCTGGAACACATTTGCTCGAAATCTGGTCTATTCTTTCGAAACGTGGAAAGGGTACCGAAGAATACCTCACATTTTAGCGGCCCATTAGTCTGAAAATTTCGACGACAGAATCAGGAAGCAAAGTACGAATGGCCTATAAAAGGTAGTTGATAGGTAGATTCTCTCCTAGTAATATCACACTTCGATTTTCTTTTCAATACTCGGCCACCAAACAATGGACGCTTCGGTATGATTTCGGCCTTCTAACATCACACTTACTAATGCCTTTTAGGAAACCCTCCGTATGATCGCCACTCTCAGCAGACGCCTAGAGCGAGCCGAACGCATTGTAGCAAAATATGAGCAGGAGCTATCCGCGGCCCGCCAAGAGACAGCGCAGTCTAGGAGCGATCTGGGGGAGATGATCAAATTGGCAGAGCTTCTTTACGAGACGAATCAAAGAATGGGAGCCGTCATGGACTTCCACCGTGAGCAGCAAAACTTCAAAGAGGGAGACCAGGAGACCAAATCGTTTGACGAAATGTTTAACCTAGTGGTGGCGCAAGCCGAGGGGCAAGTGAAGACTGAACGAGGAGGCGCCGATGTCGCCGGCGGGAACGCAAGCGCTGTGCGTGCAGATTCGGCCAATCCTAGTACTTCCAACTAGAGGCTATACTTATGGTATGAGAACTTGTGTTACCAGAATAGCGGATGCCCTATGAATGAGCGAGGGGGTTGTTTCAACAGAAAGCTTAGTTGGACGGTACATCTCAATCTGCGAAATCACTTCTCATTGGATATCTACGACCAGCATAGAAATTACAAATTATTCGCGATGCTCACACCACATAAGCATTAACATCTACGTCTCTGATCTTTACAATATTTGAACTGTAGCTTTTTCGATATTGAATACCATGACTTACACAGAATTAAAATTTCGAACTCTGAGTAAAAAAATACCATTTGAATTAAGGTTCCGACAAAGCCCAGATTACTCGCTACTTTGAGGGTGTGGAAATTATCTTCTAAACTATAGCTCTTGTAGCCAGTACATGATGGACATATATTGTACCAAAGGAGCCCTCCTTTGTTTCTCATCACAGCGAGTCATTCCAAAAATTGGTTTCTGGACTCCAAAGACCACAGACCGCATACACGACACTCACCTTGAGTCGGGTCAAGCAAGGGCAACTCCTGAAACGGCGAGATCATCTTCCTCGGCGCCACGATGATTTCTGGCACCTTTCCTGATTCGGAGCTGCGTCGTGATGGAAATGCCCAATAAGCGTGTCTATACAAACTACACTCATCCCGAGATACCTGTCCCAACTAGGAAGGAGATAGTAAGATCGATACTAAGTATCAAAATCGGTGGCCCAAAATTAATATTGCTTGTGGATAAAAGTCCTCAGCCCGCAGTCCATGAAAGCCCCGCAAACTATCTACCCCATTCTACCGATGAGCTGGTCCTCCCCAAGCCTCCTCCTGTTCTTAAAATACGAGAACTTCGGGCTATCCGGGAATATTGATGAACACATGGAATCTATGTAAATTGAATGAATATGAGATGCCGATTGAAAGAGAGAAGGGTTAAAGCTTTCTCTTAAGCATGTAGGAGTTGGTGGAAGAGTGGTAATATATTGTAGCTACGAAAATGTAGACATCTTCGCTTTGAAATGGAGAACACGCACCATCAGCTACCAAATACTAGAAGTGGGACGGGGAATGGGTTCATTATCTTGACTCAGCCGCTTTCTTTCGACGTCTACCTCCTACAGTTGCTATTTGCATGATTGAGAGGCAATTTGAACAATGAGACGTGCCATGGGGATTATCTGTTCTTCCAGGAAGGATCTCATCATGGGACTCAGCAGATTGAATGCCAAAGCAGACCACCATCAGAGCGTTGTTAGGCCTGAAATAAAATCTCTATTTACCTTTGAGTATTTGGCAACTGTAAAGTCAAATTGCTTTGCCGTTCGTTGCTCTTGTGACTAATCTATCTCTTCTCTTCTTCCACCCTCCCATTACTTGATAAAGTATATTGGTAGAGTACATACATTAATCACCAGGCCCGGCAAAGCGAATTGGGGTCTCAACCTAACACATTGCTTCAAGTCATGAAATGATATTGGCTCTGATAAATAGTCTGCAACCTCTAGCTGGAACGAACGACTGCCCTGTGGAATGAATCAAAACGGCTCTGGTCCTAAATGACCAGCCCGCCCAGCGGACAACAGTGAGAGTACAGAAATAATGATCTGTATTCAAGGGGTGTCGTGTATGTCCTGTGTTCGTCTATCTCTGCCACTCAGCGTACTAGAAATAGACCAATCTTGCTCGCTCAGGCCTTATCGCAAAATCTGCCTAATACTTTATGCAGTATTGTCCCACTCTAATATTTAGTTAAAAAAGTACGGTTTCTTTCGATTCTAATCATCAGATACTATAATTTTACAGCCCTCCGCGCGTAGCGCGGCGGCGAAGACTTGCGCGATAACATGCAAGGTGCAATGTGCTGCGGCCGTCAACCTAGTAACTACGGCCAGCGCAATGCCTTAGTCAGCAAGGCCCCATTGGTGGGTCTAGGAAAAAGTGATGAGGTGTGTATTTTGACGAGGCATAGAAATGCTGTCATTCATGTAATAGAAGAAATACAGGATTCACATGGACTGACACAATTCAACTTTGACAATTAGCTAGCTCGGTATTCCATTGCTGCGATCGAATTAAACCCTCGAAGTTCTCGCGTTTCCGATTTCGACTGCTTATCGTTTTGCACTAAGACGCAGCAGCTGCAGCAGACAGCTACCACGCAGTCTCCAAAATATGAACCTTTGATACGAAACTCTTTTCTGATCCTCTCTCTTTGTATCATAAGGGGTATCCATTGTAAGAAGCAACAAGAAAGGGACGAGAAGAGGCAACACTTTGAGCGACTCATCAGTAGTGGTCGAGAATTTTGTGCATGTAATTCTTACATCGAAATTGCAGCTGCTCGGATTCTTGTCTCCGCTGTCTAGACGTGAAGAGGTCTGCCCAAATAAGCAACATGGTAGAAAGGTTGCACAGCAGCCTGCGGAGGTTGTTATTCACACTCTGTTTTTTTATCTGAACTATAACACTTACAAGTTCCCAGAGGGTAACAAAAGTTCGTTAGAGGCTCCTCCCAGTCCTCATACGTTTTGCTGGTGACGTCTGTCATTATGAATGATGGGAAGTAGCACTCTGCTAGACACAGTAGTAGAGAAAAACCAGGCGTAAGAGGGGGGATCTAGATTCAATTTAAATAATCTTTAGGGCTACGAAGACTATCAATTAGTTCATACAGTATCTCAACCCCTCTGTTGATATTCGCTTGCCTAAAAAAGTACTAGTTTAGACAAACAGTAAGCCTGCAACAAGATTCAATCTCCTACGCTTGAGCAAGTGTTCCGTCGTGCCGTTGATTACTGGCTTTGAAGAAGAGTCACCTACCCATGGTAAACGCAGTAACTTATTCAATGAACATACATTCTATTAAATTATATTTACAATCCCTCAATTAAAAAATGAACAGATGATCGGAAGGAACACAGCGGATGAAGGTATTGTTCATGTATACTATTCTATCTCTAGAGCTCTTAGTCGGCCAACATAAATTACAGAAGAGGCAGTGATGGATTTCGCTAACATATGACTGGCTATTTAACAAAAAGATCACCCAAAATGCCACAATTAAGCCTGTAACTCGTAACTTTAGATTTGAGAAACCTCAATTCATATGGACATACAAAGTTGTCTCTAAATGAAGTTGCAGTCATTTATGTGACGCAGTCTTACTCAATTATATATAGCATGGATCGGAACATCTAGCAGTGCGTCGAAAATTATTTTTTATCTTTATGATGAAATATGGTGTGAATAACCAAGCAGAACCTACAAGTTACTCAAATATGTACTTAAAATAGAGTAGCAGGTAGAAACGCTAGACAAATTCAAGAGGTGAACGGTTCAGGTCAAAGTTATTACCGTCGAAAATCACCCCGCAAGTTTAGAAAACAAGTTTTCCTCTTCGCGAATATTATGTATGAAATTATAACCCGAAAAATTGTCTCTACGCACGTATTTTCGCTATTTATAGCTAGAAGGCACTTCCAGTAGACCAAAGATATCCCGTTAACATCCATATCTTGTTTGTCAACACAAACGCAATTATTTTGATCCATGGCTAATTTACACAATGCCGTTTTCGTTAAAGCGCATGTACTCTACTCCTCCATTATGCCTTATCATATTAACTAACAAAATTGAAGTCGACAGTTCACCTTGAATAATGCAGGTCATAGCTCAGCCCTAGCGTCAACCGCCCTACCAATTTCGAAAGCAGTTGGGCTCGACACCGAGACCCTCCAAGTCTACAAGCATGGTTCACCTTCAATATTTTCAGATCTTAAAATCAAATTTGCGCCTTCCCAAGTGAATAGCAATCAAAGGGCCTCAACCACGCATCTTGAGTATTATTCTGACATAGAGAGTTGGACGCGAACGTCTTATTCAACGTATTTAACCCCAACATATAACAACGAACCGATGCGAAAGACAAATCAAAATTCAGTCATTGATACCTCAGGCAATATTCAACCGATTACTTCACTTAAAATAAACAAAGACAAGCCCACGAATTACGAGGCAGATTATATAAATGCTATCTCTTCAAGTGCTCCGAATCGAGACTCCCCGAACGTATCTAACAAGGTTGTGACACCTTTAACAGCAAAAAAAGACAGTTCTACATACTCTCATGAATACCACAATTCAAATGATCCCACCAGAGCCCTTATATATGGGTGGGGAGCTTCGGCATCCACCAAAGCGGTAGTCCATTCCACTCTCTCTCCCAACACTCTTTTATCGACGCCTAGTAGAACACCAAGCCCAAACTTTGAGCATAAACAATATGAATTTTCTACAATCATTGTTTTACAAGGTGATATGACTACAAAACACACCCCAGAGAGCTCTTCATTGTCTACAGACAAAACAGGGTGGGGTTTGCATACTAAAGATAACGATGAGGAAAAAGATCATGTTCCCTCGAGCTTAGAGGTCGTGGAGCCTACGAGCCAAGCAGAGAAAACCCTTCAGAACTCGTTCACACCCTGCTCTACAAATTGCCCAACTTTAACCTACACAATTGATCTTCATAGCGCAGCACCGACGTATCCCCGAAATGTGGAAAGTGTCTCGGCAGCATGGCCGTATACAGTATCGCTAGGCCATCAAAGTACAACTATGGTTAGAATCGAAGCGTCTAGTCAACCGGCCTACTCTGTTGCATTAAGGACCTCTGACTCAACTCCCCACTCGAGCATGTATATTTCCACGCTGGAAGACAATTCCTTTACTAGCTCCCTTGAACTACCAGAACTCATGGGAACAAGCCGGGATATAGAAGAGACAGAAAGTAAAATATCAACTGCTGAAAGTCCAGCCTCCTCATCAGTCTCCAATAACACCACTGCTCTTACAGAGCCTCTGGTAATATTGGAACAAAGTACTATAAATTCCCATGCAGGTCATGATTTCAATGATCCTACTAGGGACCCCACCCGGACTTGGGAAACTTCAACTTTCAGCATAGATGTATTCGATGCTGTTGCTTCTGCCAGTAATACAATTCTG